TTATTTGTGACTTGACTAGATCCTGGAAAAGCTTTGTGAATTTCTTAAAAAAAAAACGAATTTTGAACTCAAAACCTTCTGTTGGTGCTCTTATATTGATTACTATGTGCTAAATCTACTAAACCATTAACAGTAATACGATTTCTATAATACTGAGACATTTGCAAAACTGCGGACCGCAGGTGTCTGCGGTGGGGAACGAATGCGCTATTGTTCTTTCCGGGGAGTAACGCGTTCACCACCACACCATGCGGGTCCTTCGTTTCGCCTGTCTCTCAGCTAGTTCTATCGATCTTTTGCCATCAACAATCACCCGTCAACGCGATTGAGCTGGGGAGCGCAAATCATCATTGAACCCAGTTAAGCTGAGCCGTTAAAAAGAATAGGTAGTAAATAAAAAGGTTAAGATTGTGAATGCGTCGTTTTCTTGTTCAGCAATCGCGAGGTTTTTAAACAGCATGCATTTACTTCCATGGAAAAACAATACAATACAACGCTAGCTGACGTTTCGTCAGTCGTCAACCATATGCGGCTATAATCAGCTGTTCTAAACCTCATTGGAAGTCACGAAAAAAGCGGCTCTGAAGAAGGCGATACTGCCGAAACGTCAGCTAGTGTTGTATTGTATTGTTTTTCTATGGAAGTAAATGTATGCTGTTTAAAAACCTCGCAATTGCTGAACAAGAAAACCACGCATTCATATTCCAATGCCGAGGTTAATAGAAAGTCGATCCTGGGATACTTCCATGTATTTTAACTAACTTTCAGGCTGAACTACCTCGTTCAAGTCAAACTGCAGCACTTTCTGGTGCAGGAGTTAAGCGAATCATTAAAAGTGTTGGAGAGGTGGGTCTACATTGTTTGATTTGCACCACTTCGTTTTAAATATATTTCTGCGTCATTTCTAGATTAGTAGAATGTCATCCCAACTATGGACTGTTTTGTCGTCTTCAATTGTTATGAAATTCATAGTGATTTCAGGGTTTATGCTTAAGTTACAGTTATTTGCATGAATTTAGAAAGACGGATGAGTGGAACCGTAAGTAAGCAGGTATATTTCTTTACTTCGAACCAAAAAGTGTGCGTGTGGCGCAGTCGTCGGAGGCGCTTTGCAACACACACGAGGAACCGATTCCCGTGCCCCAGTCTCACTAAGCCTTCCATACCTTCTGGGTGGGTAATTTGGTACCATATTTGTCTAGGAGGATAGCAGCACTGGCTCGATACATCGGTGGGCTACCGCAAGCCACTGTCTAGGCAAGATATGCGTCCAATTTCCAAGCGATGCTTAATGAAGTCGAATGCATGGCGCGTCCTTCGGGAATTGATCAACGCCAAGAGCTTTATCCTTTATTCTTTTACTTCGAACCCACAAAATTGTCGTCTTTTTTCGTTTTTTTTTTCATCTGGACTCGAATTTCGAGCGGCAAAGCGATTGGAAATCCGGAATCCCATCCAACAACGCATCGTGTTGTCCAATTTTCAAAATTTAGATCCACTTTGGAACATTTAGAAAATTCGAGTTATGAACAGACTTAAAGTTTTGACAGGATGTCAAAAAGTTCACACATCTTGTTAGAGCGGTAGAGCAAATTTTTTAAAATAGCTCTTCAAGTTTTTATCCTATGAAATGTTAAGAAAGTTATCGGACGTTACCGAAGAGCTGGAATTGTCGCGTCTATATTGAGAGTTGTTGTTAAGGTGTTTTCAAAGATGGCGTTCCATATGGAAGAAGGAGATCGGTGGTTTGAACAGACACAATCTCATGTCGAGGAACTGGATGAGTCCTTGCGGAAGCTATTACACCTGTCTGAGACTCTCACGAGTACTCGTCGCGAATTGGCTATTGCACAAGAGAGTATGAGCAAGGTGTCATTTATTTTTTTTTATTTTTTTTTTGCGCAAATGATTAAGTATGATTTATTTCACCTACATACGATTTATAACATTCTACTCTACATTGCCTAAGTCATTTTAGGGTCTATCTATGTTGGCGTCATGTGAAGAATCAACTGCATTGGCACGAGCTCTTTCTCATCTAACCGAAACTGAGGAAAACGCAGCAGCCTTGTGGAGCAAACAATCTGAGATGGACTCTGTCAGGTAGCAGGACTAGTGCACTTTTACAAAAAAATGAACATGTACTTCCCTATCTAATTGTAGTACTTAATATGTTATTAGCACTAATTTCTTGTGTTTCTTTCCTATTCAACTTTTTTTATTGTAGGTTCACAGAATGCCTTAGCGAATACGTGGGTTTAGTTGGTTCCTTGAAGGAGCTCTTTGCTGAACGAGTACGAGTATGGCAGAATTGGCAATCGGCACAGCAGAGCCTCGCTAGAAAGCGGGAGCAGAAAGCACGGTACCGCGAAGATTTTTTTACACATCTATTGTCAAGAATCGCGACTGAAATGGACATTATGTCGTTCCCTTAAACTACCGTAATTTCTTGAAAGATGGACTAACTGGACTTTTTCTGGTTTTCTTAGTTGTGCTAAGAACGAGAAATAGTTACAACTTTAGGTTGGAATTGTCGGGAAGGAATGACAGGGCTTCTTCCCTGAAAGATGAAATGGATGAAGCAGTGCGCCGCATGGACCAACTGGAAGCGGAATTTGGCGATCTGAGTAAGCACACACGTGAAGAGGTGAGCTAATCCGATGGTTGAACGTTGAACTGGTTGTGAAAGTTTTGTCATTTTTTGACTTTCAACTCCAGACACATATAAGTTTACTCATAATGAGGTTTATTGATGACGTTTGTTCGATATAAAAGATTGGATTCGGCAGATGGTTATAGCAAAGTTCCATGTGCAGATAGGTATAAAAAAGTTTTACGCTTTTATTAGCCAACAGTCTTCTGAAAGTATTTTCAGTAGCGGTCTGCTTGTTTAGGATATTTCCAGAAAATGGTTATCCAGATAACTGAGAAAGTAACAGTTGATTAAAAAGTGAGCCAATAATCACAGTGGAAGGTACAGATTTTACCACGTAGGGTTCATAGTGAGTTGATTTCTCCTCAGACGGTGCGATATAGCGACCTCTTCCAACTTCATACCAGCATATCTCAGCCAAAAATGAACTTCATTAGTTGGATACGTTCTTGAATTATTACGCTTACACGAAGTTGTTATAATGCTTTTATTCTGCTAACATTTTGACGTCTTCTTCGGAGCTGATGATCCGAGTCAATGGTCCACAGTCAGTCCTTAATTGAAAAAAGCCAGTAGAACTTGCATATCCTCGACAAAACAACACCAACGAGATAAAATAAAGAAGGAAAAAGAGAAGATAAAGAAATTAGTAGTAGTTACCGAACGCGTTTCCAACTTCTTAAGTCTTCTAGTTGTTGAAAATCTATTGGCAATTGGGGAAAGCCAGTCTCTAACCCTTAAGTATTAGCTCCGTAAAGTTTTACACTGTTGGTTGTGTGACATGTTCTCAGACGTATTTATGTTCGTGGTAGTATTCATTCCTTTTAACATGAATGTGATGGAAAGGCACATATTTTTTATCAATACATTTGATGTTAATATATTTTTTTTCAGTTTTTCTCTGCCACACAGATAATCGTGCATTACTTTGATATAGCAAATTTTGTTTAAGCTCGGTATGCTGCAACAGTTGATGTACTTCCTTGATAAACTAGTACGAATTCGATAGAAACTTCACTCGTTGACGTCTCGGTTTCTTAGCGCTCTCCTGAGTCGGAATAACTTCATGGATTGTCTATAGCCATTCATTATTGCGATGTGGGTTTTCATAATTCCATCAAGTCGATTCCAAGTGGAGTAGAACACTTGCCTTAGTTCCTGTGTGAATTTGATAGCTTGTGTACCAAAGATGTGCCAGGCGTGACCTAAAGAGAACTATTTTCTGAATTCATTGCTCGCTAACGACTGTTCTTCGGATAAATTTGTTCATACCGCGGGGAAAATATTGTCAGTGAGAGGTGTATTAAAATATCGTTGTTATATTTGTACATCAAAGTTCCCACTAGGGCTCACAGGTTGTGTTTCTTTAACTTGCTTCCAGTTTCCACGCTGCTTGTCTTTGGAAACATTGAAGGTTTTCAGCATTTTTTTTAGCAGTCATAAACTTGTTTTGAAGAAGAATATACCCATTTTACAATCTTTACGATTTGCAACCTACACTTTGCACATAAGATCGACATCTGCATATGCGGCTTATACTTCTTACGGTCGTTATTCAAACTCGTGGTAATTCAACAATTGCTTATAAGAAGCAGCACATTTCTTGTTTCCTTTTTTTTACGCTCAACCGGTCTCTTCCAAGATAACACTGGATCATGGAGTCATCCACCGAGGTTTCCCACATAGGTTTACAGCAGGTCCTCCATGAGTCTTCTGGATTCTGGACACGTGTAACTAAGTAGAATGAGAGTCTGCTTGTACTATGGATAGAAGGAAATGTGTTAAAGCATCGAAAAACAAAAATATGCGTGTCATTTCATAGTTTTTCTGACCACTCGATAATAGGATGCGATCTAGTCGTTTTGTATCCTCGGTAGGTTTTGCCTGGATTTAGCTTTCAAGTTGTAGTGTCGGCGAAGAAAAGATGAAGCAGCTGTTTTCATGATCACCGGATACTGTAAGGTATTTCTTATTGTCTGGAGTATAATCTAAACAATCCCTAGACTATGTTATACCTTTTTATTTTCCGCCTACTATAATTTCGCGGCAGGGTAGTAAGCGAAATACAACCACGTTGCTGAGTTTTGCAAATATTTCAGCAACGTTGTGGTTGTAATCCCTAGACTTTTTGCTCTCGAGCAGTTCACATCTTAATCCAGAAATCGATGCATCTTTCCGTCGCTTTGACAGATGTTATTCTTGAGAACTGGTTATCCTTCCTCCGTATCTGTCTGGATGTTTCTGTCTCCTTCGCAGGTAAATCTCAGAAATCAACTATAAATCATACAAATACGGCTAATGATTTCATCTAAGCAAAAGTGGCTGTTGAACTTTGGATTGACTGTTTTGGAAGGGGAGTGAGAGATCAATATTTGGCTCGTTATCGTCCGCTTCACATTCTTCCCACTCTCTTACACCTAGTGGAAGAGATTTTTTCTTTTCCGCGTTCTCCTCCCTTTACTTTTTATCATTTTGGTTTCTCCAATGGACGTCAATAAAAATATAAAATTTACAGGTAAATGTAAATAAGTAAAAAAAAGGCGCTAACTGTGAAATAGAACCACGGTCTGTGTGAGTTGTAATGCGAGCGACAAAAAATCTGGGTTCGTCGCTGATCTGTTAACTTCTTCAAACGAACGTTATTGACGGTCATAGGTAGTCTCCCGTATTTCCAAGGTCTTCAAGCTTCTAATTTCCAATAAGAAAGCTTTGAAATTTACTTTTTACCTTGCTAGTTAAGACATTTCTCAAGTGGAATACTGGTATTGCGAGCAGTCTCCGCATATGAAAAATTGCGGGAAAGTTCTTACTATTTTTTTTCAACCGGAAAAAATTCAACATTGCTAATAAATTTAGAAAAAGTAGAAATGTGTTGATAATGGTTCCCAAAATCGATTTTTTATTATGGTATGGTTGCGGTTATGGTAAGAAACTTGGAAATTTTCGCATCAGCTCAACAAGATCAGTTTATAAGATCATAGAAATAAATTAAAAGTTCTAGTTAACAGCAAAACGTGAAGGTTTAAAGGCAGAACGGAGTGATTTTTCGCAGAAGTCAATCCTTCTATGAAGCAACTTTCTATTATCACCTTGGTTATTCAGATTGGACGTTTCGAAGTTCAGCGACGGCGTGATATGCGTCAGATTTTCATCGAATATCTTGAGTCATTAATACAAACTCATACAGAGGTAATTATGATGTTTTAGTTTCTATGGTAAAAGCTAACCTTTTTAGTTCTATATTTATTCTATTCATAGTGGAACACTTAGCTTTATTTGTGTTTTATAATCCTTTTTGCGAACGATCAACATTTATTTTAGATGCTAGATGTTTGGGAAAAATTTGAACCAGAGACTCGTTCAATTTTTGCCTGAGAAGTGCCGATTGACGTCTGTGGTGTTTGATTATTTTTCAACTTTTTTCCACTTATATTTTGTGTTTCAACTAGTTGTTTTAGTATCTCGTCGATATCATGTCACTCTTTAAGCATTTTCTTGAATACTGGGATAGTCACTAGCATATTTTTTTCCTTGGTCACATATCAGACTTTTATCAACAATGTTGTATAACACTTCAACCATTTTAATTGTGCAATGTTGCAGAAAGTATTTTAAATATAACAGTCTTGAAATCTCACCGTTGGACTTCGTAGAGCTTATGAATAGAACGTTTTACTAGACGAATAATGTTTTATATGATTTCTAAATTTTTTACGGATTTTATTTTAATGAAAGTAATTGGACGGGAGTGAAATCAACTCAGAAGTTTCACATTTCTTGATTTTTTAGATTTTCTTGAATGAGACAACTTGCGATGTGATGAATATGTTAGCGATCATCTCCCCTCAACAGTCAAGGAGGAAATGATGATTTCTCTAGAACTACGACAGCTACGAGTTTAATTGTTCAGTGCACCATCCATACCATCGCATTTGACTTTGCCATAAAAGGAATTTTTCAACGTTCGGAAAACATGAGCAGGGAAAAGAAAAGCTTTGCTCTTTGGACGTCACAAGCTTCTGGTGAACCATTAAAGCTACGTACGCCGGAACGTCTTCGTGAAGATAGTCGGGTTCGGTTTATTCTCTCTCAAGTCAGGAGAACGAACATACTGATTTGCATAACAGTTGGAACTAACTGCACCTTTTCCTGCAGCTGTATTAGGTGTTTTAATATTTTTGTTTACCATTTAATGGCTGTAGTGATTAAAGGTGCACCTTAAAAAAGCGTATACTGGTCTTTACAACATAAATCTAGGCGAACGTTTTGCGCTTTTTATTCAAACTTCTGCTTCCGGCTCAGCAAATTATTCCTTCAGGTATCAGGAAATTGATAGAATATAAATTGATATTTGATAGGAAGTTGATGATAGAAACGCTCACTGGATTCATTTCTGGGCCCTCAGCAAGTCAATCGTATAGGCTAAATACGAATTCATTTGCTTCTAGGATATTTGATGAAGTCGAGTATATGACGAGTCCATAGAGGATTGGTCAACATCGAACGCTTCATCGTTCTTATTCTCTTAGTGGTAATATGATACACGTTTTAAAGTGAGTTTTCAACAAGGCTCAACTCCATGTTGATATTCGATCTGTTAGCTCAACAATAAAAAAAAAACATGCAACATAGAGTGAGTACTGAGGCGTTCAGCGTCGTGTTTGTATCATTTGCGACAGCTATCAGCTGAATAAGACCACTATAGTGTTTGTTCTTCAGCATGAACTAACCCGAGGAAGCATACAAGAAATTTGAATGCAGAAGAACCGCACAGTCTTCATATCGTCTCTAAAGATGGCTTATCGTTTGTGCTTAGAATAAATGAATATGTTGATTTAACGACACCAAAGAAAGAAACGCATCTTTGAAGTCGCACTGGTCTAAGACGAGTTTTCATCGTCCAGTTAATTCTGCCCTAATGTGTAGGTGTTCTTAGTAGTATGGTGTGGAGTCAAATAGAATACAAGACTGCATGAATATTGATTTATTCGTGGAATAAACGAATTGCTCATTCATATCAAGAGTTAAATGAACATTTTTTTCCAAAACTACTCAATATGTCAGCTAATAAAAGCGCATGGCGATAAACAATCTATAACGGATGCGTCATGCATTCAATAGCATTCGTAGCATCGTAGAGTTGATTGGATGCATATTTGGCCTACACAGTGGCTTGCGGTGGACAGTCGACGTTTCAAATCAGTGCCTTCTATCCTCCTAGACTAGTTTGGTGTCAATCTGCCGATGTCGACAGTATAGTCGGTTTGTTTTTCTCAGGGTCCTGCTTCGAATCAATGACCACATGCGAATTTCATGGCACTTCTAACTATTGCGCAACATCTCGCTTTTATTCTACACAATAAATATTGAATTCGCATCCACAATTTTATACGCTAAAGGATGAATTATTGTGATAAATATACAATGCTATACCTTTTTATTTTCTGCCTACTATAATTTCGCGGCAGGGTACTAAGAGACAGGCGAAACAAAGGACCCGCATGGTGTGGTGGTGGACGCGTTACTCCCCGGAAAGGACAATAGCGCGTTCGTTCCCCACCATAGACACCCGCGGTCCAGAGTTTTGCAAATATCTCAGCAACGTTGTGTTTGTGATAAATATATGTGGTTTAAATAGGTAACCAATCGTGAACTCTCTTCTATAGCACGGAATGGCCACGTGAGGTCATTTTATAGCCATTGGGCTTGCTTACTTTATTTTTTCTTTTTTTCAAAAAATGAATAGAGAAAGACGAACAAAATGACTTGTATGAATTTTATACAATGCACACTGTATGCGACGAGGAGTTAGACATTGTTTAAACACTTAATTTAAAACTGAACTAAGCTTTGAACCTTAAGCGTTACGCGTGAATTTGCCTCTTATGAGCTTGATGGTCGTGTGACTCAACCGCAATCTGATTATTCAGCATACGCCGTCAAAGTCAGCTAATATCAGCTTTTGCGAGCTGACGATGTGAATACCAGTAAAGATGGGCTATGGAGAAGTTGTCGATCGCCTTTCCTCACTACCTTTTCTTCTTCTACCTCACCATATAGCTAGCTACTTCAATTAACACGAGAAACTCAGAGAGTATAATTAGGTGTTTACTGGAACCACTGGTTAACCAAACCGATAAAAATGATTTTCTTTAGTTAAGTGCGAAAAAGAATGGACCTTTGCAGGTTTGTAGTATCCACCAGTGCCAGTTTCTTACTAGTCTAGTTGCTCACCATTATGTCGTCGTTGGTTATTGTTGAACCAGAACAACTTTGCTAGAATAGAAAACTATCACTTGTACCCGAATTGGTTGAAGCTCCTTTAATCATAGAACGATTCGAATGGATATATTTTAGGACGTTATGGCTTGACTTACCTAGTGGACTGTGTTTTATGGAAGAATAGAAAGGGTATTTTATTTTACATTCAACACTCTTGATGTTTATAGACTTTGCGGCACCAACAGGATATACATACGGATGGTTTGCTACGGTTTTCTGACTTATTTATAGAAATGATTCCGATTTCTCCGTGCTTTCCATTCAGTTCGTTGCAGGCTTTGGATCAAATCATCGACACACAAATGAGATCGTTAAGCACATCCACTAGTGCGTGCATTAATGTAACTACGAATAAGGCTGTATAAGATAGAAGTCATTTCTTGTAATGAAACAAGGAGGCTATTTTAAAAATTCGTCTACATCTCATTGCATTGCATCTCATCTCCATATTGCCATTTTTGAACCCCGCTTGAAACATGAGCATTAGATTAGAAATAACTGATTAAATCGTCATAACACGACCGTAGTGAAGATTCGAGAACCTATCTAGTGCTCGTTGTTCGATCTTCGGAAGAATTCACTATGCATTCGGTTCCATTCATAGCATTGGGTTATTGCTTGAATGCATATTTGACCCATACGATTACATACGGAGGCGTTCTTTGATGTATCAAGTTAGTTTTTTACTCTCTCAGATCAGTCTGATAACAATTTGCCGATTCGAAAGAATGAACGACATAATCCAGAACGAGGCATCGAACCAAAACCATGCAGAAGTTCTAACGACTGCTTAACTCACAGGTAAAGACAGCAATATTGGTCTAATATTTGTTTATAATACTATATTTAAGTCAGTTGTGTTGTTTTCTTACACATTTTTGCAGGTCATTTGTGAAGTTTAGTCTCAGGAATCAAAATCACAAAACACTTTCGGGAAGTGGGCGCCGTTTAGCCGGCTAATTTAGCTCGGCGTTAGTGGTCGGCCCCCGGGGATGGGAAATGCGAAGTGTTGTTGCTCGTCGGCGTGATTGCTTCATTTGTTGCCCCATTCTTAGGCGATTTTTTCATGTCGCTGTTTTGGACTCTTTTCAGCGTTTCGTTTTCATTGCATAAAATCTGTTTAAATTCTTCTTCTTACTCGATCCGGTTTACAACTAGCGAACAAGAACTACTCGTTTTCCCAAAACTAATAACCAATATTTTTATATTATTGGCAGGTGTAGATAAAAACTATGAAGCTCCACTTGACTTCAAGATGTTGGTCTGGATTCCTTTTTGTGCGTTTTTTCTTGTAAATGTATTCGCACCCTATTACCAATATTATCCCATTACCAAAAATTTTCCCACTTTTCTTCTAAAGAAGTCGTAGAATTTGGGCAGATGTGATAAGAAAGTATTTTTAGGTCGATGTGGTTATGAAGCATTTTAACCGTTTCCTATCTTCACGTCACTATGACCCACTACTTGAATTCGTAGAGCTTAGTGGCACTGATGTGTAGTGTGGCGTTCACCTACAACTCATTAAGAGCACACGAGTTCCTCTACTTGCGAAGTTCGAAATGAACATCCAAAAACACAGTTGAGTAGAACGAAAACGTCGAAACGTTAGCCGAATAAATCCTTGGTAACTACATCGTGTTAGTCTAACATTGAGGTGTTGATCATTCATACGACGTTAAATGGAAGTCGGTTTATAATAGTATTACTTTGTTATATGTTAGCATGTCTCACACCGACTTTGGCAGGATGAATTGTCAGTTGAATAACAAGTTATTGTCAACGGAAAATCATTATCAACAGCGGTCATCCTGTATGAAAAATCGCTACCGGGTCATTGCTCATTCAAACAGTCTTTCACTGAAGAACAATCTGTATCGGGAGTAGCTGTTGTCGTTTTCAAAAGTAAATCGCAACTTGGTGAACGTCGTTCCATTCCACTCCATAAAGATCTCGTGTAAGATACAAATTAGGTGAAAATTGTTCCGAGGCACTTCGCGGTTCTTCTTGAACACAAGACATTCATATTAAAATATTGAGTACATTTTCATGGCCCTGAATGAACGCTAATCAGTACAACGGAAAAACAAGCAACAGATTTGATTTTGGACTAAACGAAATCAGAACCATGGCTGCCTTCTCATAATCAACAGATTCGCATTACCTAATACGGGTGGAGAACATCTGTATGTTATATTGATTACAAATAGCTCAATGGCTATTAATAATATCATAATAAATTCATGGGGCAAGCAGGAATTCGTTTTGAGCGAAATAACTTATTTGTCTAGAACAACGAAGAATGATATTTTCCATGGAAACTGGACACTTGTCTACATTGAGAGATCTCTCGTATTTTCCCTGTACTCATGTCGACCGTAGCTTTTTCTGATATGGCGCTTACTTTATAAAGTTTCACTCTAAAAGAATTATCTTCAAGTAAGCCACATTAGTGTTCCCAGTCCCACCAAATTGAGTTTTGAATTAAGGTGGTTCGTTTAGTTCATCTTTACGAAAGTGACTTTCGTCTTTTGTTCCAGAACTCTTACCTAGTAGATAAAGTGCTGTTTAACGTTAGCGAAAAACATATCATCTTCAAGGTAGTCTTATATGAATTTATATCACACGAAAAGGCATATTCCTACCGGAAAGCCCTCAAGAAATCTGTCGACGATACCACATGTTGTTTGCCGACTGTTCGTCAGAAGACACCAGTAAAGTATCTCATTCATCAATTCCATGCACCAGAGCTTTCTCTTTAGTGAGCCCAGCTTGCTTGAGGGACACGAAATGCCCATTATTTTTATTGTTTTCTTTTCGCGGAAGGGTACTTACTGCTAAGGGTTCTTGTCCACAAAACACTTGTATCCTCTTTTCGGACTTGTATTCTCATGCATGTGGCGTCTAGCTTTCCCATTGTAACTGGATTTTTACGGAACGTGCTCTCCATTGGCTGTAGCTGCTAGAATAAAGGTCGAAGATATGAACTACATAGTCCCTCGTGTGCCAGTTGTATTTCAGAAAACATAATGCTTCAAGAGATCTACTAGTGGTGTGTAGGATTCTGAACATAGTTAACATTTGAGCCCGCGTCTTAGCAAGATGTCGGAAGTTTGGAAAGATTGTTTTGTCAACAGATCACCATGGAGTGTCCAGTCTACTACATAACCACGGTTGACGATGGAAAGCTTTTCAAGCATTCCATATCTTCCATCTTTTGTGCAGTTTCAACTTTGAGCTGTTTGTCATCGTACACTGAACAGAGTGGGTTCCCATAGAACGTAATTAATGTTCTTAGTCAGAAAGCTATTTCTTTGAATTTTTTATTTAATTATTTATTTGCTTAGTCGGATAGTTAGATTCTTATTTGACGAATAGATGGCACGTTCCTAAATGTTGTACGGTTCCCAGTACTGCTCAGAATCGTTTCATTGTCTGTCGAACCAGCGTTCATGGAAACGGTCGAGCTCGTATGTAGCTTTGGGATTAACTTGCAACTGTAATTTTTTCTCATCAATATGTTCAATGCTGTTGGTGTATAATTTTTCGGAACCAGTGCTGGCCGTAATGCGAAAGTTGTTGCTAGTACTTCACCACGAACAGTTGCCGACTTTTGTAGATGGGAAGTAAATTTGTTGTCTTACGAAGGAGATTCTTCCAGAAAAACATCGATTTCTGTAATGTCAACTAATCTACCACTTAGCCGACCATTCACTAGAAAACGACGTAAGGAGGGAATCGACTTAATGATTCATTCATAATCTTTTTAGTGGCTCCGCACAGTGGCTCTATCGAAAAAAATTGGAGCTAAACACTGGAACAACATTGTGCACCTGTCATTCCTCAAATGTCGCTATTGCTTCTAATATATTATTTAAGCATTCTTGTTTATACATTTTGAACAATGCCGCAGCTTTCATTGGGTTTCTCTGGAATTCTGGAGGACTTCTGTGATATTCGCTTAATATTTTGGCAAACCCTTTAGGAATAGAACCGGCCATTCCTAATAAGAAAAATCGAGTACTCCGCGATTCTACGGCTCATTGGTTTATAATTTTATTCAGTGTTTTTTCTGTATGAAATGATTTCGATCTGAATGGGGGAAAGCCAGGAAACTCAAATTTTTTTGGATTTTGTCTATCAATTTATTGCTGCTTTTTGGATGAAAGGATGAAAGTTCCTTTTCAGTTGGTTAATACTATAAAAAATGTGTTATAAAAAAGAATAGAGAAAGTTATTGAAGAAAAATTTAGAAGCAAAGAAATGTTATACTGAAAAATCAAGTAAAAAAGGCTTGATACAGTGTTCTGTAGTGACGACTGAATTATGAAGAGAAAGAAATCTCGAGCGTTCCAATCTCATATTGGATACTTGGATGGCCTGTTTGCGCTAGTAACATAGGCTTCCGCACATTTTCCGTTCGTTTCTTGCGCAAACATCGTCCAAGGTGGTGGTTTGCTTCGAACTTGGTGACGTTCGCGAGGCCCACTCTGTACCCCTTAAAATCGTCCCATCTGCGAATGCAAATTGACGTTAGCCACGAACACCTCCGCTTATTATTTGGATGGTCTTCCGAGAGGACACTCGCATTCTTTTGGAGTCCACTCCATTTTCGTCTATCTATCATCTATTCTTTGTATTATGTGACCTGCTCACCTATTTTCGCTATAGATGTGAATTCTGCTAGATCTCGAAGGTAGGATAACTCCCGAAGATCCGAGTTGTATAGTCCGGCCGGCTGTTGTGACTTCAGAAGACCTCTTTAAAGCGCTCTGTAGGTGGCACGCGGAATTGAACGAAAATAGGACTTTCAAGACACCTTTTTTACAATAAAGAATTGATAACGGAGATGTCCAATACCGGGCTTTCCTGTTTTACAATCTTCGTCTCTGGTTTCGAAATACTCACCAGAGGAAAAACCTACCAGGATTTTACTCTCTGAAGTTCGAGTTCTGTTGGAAATTAGGAAGACAGGCACGGCCCCTGGATTCGATAATATCACCACCACTTTTCCTAGAGCTGGAAGCCACAATTCATATGTATTTTTTTGCTGCCCATGCTACATCCTAATTTCGGATGGAGAGGAACCCAGATAGAGGATGTCGTGCACGGTCGTTCTTCCCAAAGAGAGTGATCAAAGGATCTTCGTAACTATTGCTTGATATGCCACTTGTGTGTGCTCTACAAACTGCATCCGAAAATTATCCGTACATCAGGAGTTTGTATGAGGCACAACCAGTTGAGCAGACAAGATTCCGACAGAGATTCTGCTGTATGGACCACATCAGAACATGACAATCCTTTATCAACTAAGAAAGGGGTCCGGCAGAGCCGAAATGAGTGCAATCTTCTCAGTACTCGTCAACCAAAAAGTGAACTTATCTCACATGAGCTTTAGCTGAATACTATTATTACTGCGCTACAAAGATGCAACCCTTCCATCGACCACATACCGTTTCCCTAGGAAAGTGCTTGAGAAGGCCACACCATCTCATCACAGGTTCGAAGAGCAGCAATGCGGTGTATAATGATATTGCTCGATTGGAACGAGAAGTTCATACGTATTAGTAGGAAATTCCTATTAAATTTCCGTTTCGCGCATGACATCGTCGTCTGGAGGACCGGCGAAGAAAAAGATTGAGCTATGTATAAATCGTCTTCGAGCGCTATAATATATAAATGCTGGTTTTTGCTTTCTCCCTTTTATCTTTCTAGTCTCCATTCCTTTATGCTGTGTTTTAATTATTTTCTCAGTGATTCCTGCGTGAGCTATTGTAATACTAAAACAGGCATATTGATCAGATAGCAAATCGATTGCTTTTTCTTGCTTTCTTCTTCCGTAATAAGATTTTTTCGCTTTCGTTCTTTTTTACTTCTCTCCTTTAATAAGAGCAAAGTGTCGCACAAAAATTATTACTGCTGCCATTTAGCCTGAACTCGTTGCCCATCAAATTAGATTCCATCTACAGTTTTTTCAGTCGAACTTCAAATATACCGCCGTCGTTATCGTATCCGACTTTCCAAATTCGGATTTCAATGTTATTTTTTCACTCAGTGATTTAATCTCTACTGATTGTTAACGAAATTTCCAACGGGATTTATTCAATGGCTCTTGTCGCTTTTCTGATGTTAAGCAAGGTGAGTCGTTCATTTTTCCTCTTCAAATATATTTCTGCTTGTTTTATTTATGTGACCCGGCCTCACATTTTGTGCTGGTCCCAGCACTTCTTCCATTCGATTTCTCTCCTCCCATCTGTCATCTACCAAATCCATCGTATCTTCGTGTTGGCTCGACATTTTCTCGAAAATTTATCTTTTCTCATAAATCTTGTTGAATTATGGTTGAATCGATTCTCCTCGGAATCCAGGTATATATTACAGTATTACATACTATTATATATTAAGTTGTTCAGAAATAAATGAGCGTAACCATATTATTTAAAATTTCATAACTTGTTTCAAACAAAACTTTATTAATAAAATAACAACCATTTCAATCTACATATTTTTGCCAGCAAAAAAAATTTGTTCATTTTATTTGGATAAAGTTCTGGAGTTCTAGAAGCGATGAATTCCTCGAAGACTCTTTTGCGTTATCGTAGTTCGTGAAGCATTTCTCGCGAAGAAAGTTGTCAAGGTGCTTGAAGAAGTGATAGTCAGTAGGAGAGAGGACTGATAAATATGGCGAGTGAAACATAGTTTCGTAGCCCAACTAGTTCAACTTCTGCAGCGCTGCTTCCGCAACGTGGTGCAAGGCGTTGTCGTAGAGAAGGATTGGTCTATTTCTGTTGACTAATGCCTTTTGTTGTTGTTGGAGTTTACGGTGCATTTCGTCCATTTGCTGGAAATACTTCTCTGCCGCAATCGCTTCTCCCGGATTCAAAACGTTGTACTGAATCAGCACGGCTGCAGACCATCGAGCACTCACCATGACCGTTTTTGGTGCAATTTTTCGACTTTGGGAAGTGCTGTGTAACTTGTCTGCAATCCAACCACTGAGCGGGTTGTCGTACAAAATCCACTTCTTGTCGAACGTGACAATTCGATCAAGAAAAAGATCGTTTTTGTAGAGCAGAATAAGAGCAGACGACACTTCAAAATGGCGGTTTTTCTGATGACTGTTAAATTTGTGTGGCACCCATTTGTCGAGTTTTATTTGTTTTTCCTGTGCGTTTGAAGTGAGAGGAAATTCGAAAGACCGACTTTCTATAAACCTCGGCATAGATAGTTGATATATTTATTTATGTGATCTTATAAACTGATCTTCTTAAGCTGACCCGAGGTTGGTACAGATCTTCGTTGTCGTTGTCGTTGTTTTTGATGTTATTGATCGATGGACGACGTTTCCGGGACTTCGCCTTCCTCAGAGCGTGGACGTACTTTATGCTAGAAAGAATTTATTAATGAAGATCAAACTTTTAAATAGACGCCATATTGAACAGAAAGGCCACTCACCGTGATGTTACGTGCGGAACTGTCCCACACGTAGTTCACGTGGAGTCGCGAGCAAGACACGCCCCGGGGTCAAAATATCATTTTGAAATAGAGCACCAGGTCACGCGTGATAGTGAGGCATTCGTCCTTCCGGTTCATCTTTGGATTTTTGAAATTTATCCAAAACGCCTCAAGAGTTTTGCGCGTTGATGTTTTTGATTCCTGCGCTAGGATCCGCACATTCACTTCAAAATCATCCCCGTTGTGCTCTTGTGCCCTATGCGTACCTAGAGGGGTGTTTAAACGGATTTTAGCTTTCCCATCTAGATGTTCTTTTATGCGGACACAAAGTGGTGTACCCGTTTTCTCCGATATATCCCTCGCCGCATGCATTACATGAGATCAAGTATATTATACCTAAACTCATGCAATCCCCGTCTCTCCCGTTGGATATACTCCTCGCCGCATGCATTACATGAAATCAAGTATATTACACCTAAACTCATGCAATCCCCGTCTCTCCTATTGGGACAGATCATACAGTTTTCTGAGCTTGTTCCTGAGCTTGAGCTTGAAATTGTTCCTGTGCTTACACCAAGCTGTTCTGCAAGCTCTTGAACGATTGTTCGCGTGTATGCTTCCACTAGTAACTTTAATTCGTTCTGTTCAACTTTACTGGAACGTCCGCGGTTTTTCCTATCTTCGAGGTCGAAATCATCAGATTGGAATTTTTGGAACCACGTTCACACTGTTGATTCACCAACACTACCTTCACCTCAAAGTTCGTTAATGTTTCGACCTGCCTCTGCTACACCACGACCGGGTTTGAACTCATAATAAAAAAAATCCGACGAAAAATCGTTTTTGACATCTGCAATTGCAAAGCTCGAAATTGGTAGAAAAGAAAATGGAAACTCGATGTTTTTCTTCATTAAGCAGACGCGATGTTCTTATTATAGAATTTATTAGGATACAATAGCTGACGTTTCGGCGGTTTCGCCTTCTTCAGAGCCGTTTATTTGTTGTAAGCATTTAAGTTACCTGATGGATAGCCGCCTCACAGAGTAATACATGCGCGATAACTGCGTCTGTGTCAGGTAATTGGATTAGCCTGAGGTATGGCGCCAGGTCACGCGTGATGACAAGACACTCCTCCTTGCTGTTCATTTTTGGATTTTTCGAATTGATCCAAAATGCTTCTAGAGTTTTACGCGCTGATGTTTTCGATTCGTGCGTGAAGGTAGTGACTCCTACTTCAAAATCTTCTCCGTTGTGTTCCTGCATCTTATGCGCGCCTAGTGGAGTGTTCGGTTTTAATTTAGATTTACCGGCTAGGTGTTCTTTTATGCGGACACGAAGCGGTCCACCCGTTTCGCCAACGTATTCGCCCCGTACGCTTTACAAGATCAGATAGACTGTACCCGAACTCATGCAATCACCGTTTCTACCATTAGGGCAAATTATGCAGTTTTTTGTTATACATAAACGGTCATATAGACGGTTGCGAACTAGGCGAACTAGCTGGCGTCTTAGAGTGTCCGATGGTATTTCTATCACTCTTACGAAATTCTCTAGACCGGCCCTTATTAAGCAGCGTTTTATAGCTGCACTTATTTCGTTTGAAATAAAGGGCAACAGGAACGGAGCCTTGTTTTCGCTAGAATTATCCCTCCGGGGGGTGGGTTTTCTTTTGTGCCTATGCCTAGAAGCTACAGTTTCGTAACCATTTGAAATAGCTATTTGGCGCACCAGTTTCGAGGATTCTTCCCTCTGATCTCTACCTGTGCACACGCTGGCAGCAGTTCGAAACATATTTCTTATAAGCGTCCTTTTAGTGTGTGAGGGATTAGAGGAGAGGTGATGAACCACTATATTCCTACTGCTTGGCTTTCGGTACCATTTTGTGCTGTAGCCCTTTTTGGATAGGTTAATTTGAAAGTCTAGAAATGGAAGCCAGTTTTCTTTCGGTTTCTCACGGGTGAATTTTATGTACTCTGACTGTTCGTTCAATAACTCAAAGCATTTGTCCATCTCCTCTTGTGTGGAGCAGATGGCAAAACAATCATCTATATACCTACAGTAGAGTAATGGCCTGAGATCGATTACTGGTTTAATTTAAATTTAAATTTATATGATGCTGAGATATTTGCAAAACTTTGGACCCCAGGTGTATGAGGTGGGGAACGAATCCTTTCCAGGGAGTAACGCGTTCACCACCAAACCGTGCGGGTTCTTCGTTTCGCCTGTCTCTCAGCTAGTTCTATCAATCATGGACCCTCTATCAGCAAAATTTGGCACTAATTTGCCGATCCTGGAGGGATCGCTGATACACAACGGAGTAGAGCCAGAGAGCCTGCGTGTATTCTACGTCGCCTCTTACCACTGAGCTCTTTTTTTCTTCAACTTGTCATTAGCTAAGATGGTAAATGACGTGCTAGCCTTGTAGATTTGTTCATGTAGATTATGTAGTAGCTAAAGCTGGTGGTGATACGGGCGGACGACGTATTTATGAAGAAAACTTGTTCTAAGAAAGTCTATAATTTCCGATCATCAAGGGTTCACGACTGGTTAGAATATGCAAGTTCCTTTTTTAGACTTCAGCTTTCTTACTCATGCAAAAACACAACATCCATTTATTCATTCATAAATATTATTTATGGGAGGCACTATTTGTTTCAGTCATTAGCAACACCGTTAGTCGAATAGCTCACCGTTTCGCCATAAAGTAAGCATTAATCACTGCCACCTGCAAGAGGCGCCAAGCGGGCTTTGCTAGCTTAAAGGCTTATAAAGCCTCCTATTTTTCATCTCAAAGTGTCATGAAAAAACCGGACTGTTAATGAGTTGGTGTTGCTTTACTGTTTACTTCACGACCAATGGGAATTAGTCGATTCCTGTCCATAAATCGTTAACATGAATCACGTGCCAACCAGGACCACTTAACTGTCAATATCTTGGCGCATATGAGATTGACTGGGTAAGAGTGTTCGTCATTGATCGTAACCTTACCTATGGGTCATGTATCCGACACCATTCGTAGCACCGTATAGGTGGTTGAATGCATATTGGGCATATACTTGTAGCACAGGCCCTTGTACTGGACTTTTGACGAGGTGATGATGTGTCGAGTAGGTGTTTCTATCCTCTTAGATAACTCTTTCACCAATTTTACGACTAAAGAGGAACGGAGAGGTGGTCTTGTTAGACCTTCAAGATCGAACCAAGGACTATGTATGTGTTGCACGCACTTCTAACCACTGCACTTCAGAGTAGGTGCACTCCTCCGACCGACGTAGCATATATCATACTCTGTGGACCTCAGCACATCTTGCATTCGATACATTTCCTCGCATCCATCATCCACTGAGATCTTCGAACATTTCGCGTGTACGCTCGGCAGCTGGTTGAAGGCTGCCATTTGCCTTATGAATGTTGAGAGAGTCGACTTTTTCTGAAATCTTAGGATAGCCGCGAAAGGGCGTTCCCAAGTAAATTCTCGAGAGAGACAAGGACAGAGAGAGAGAGAGAGAGAGGAGAGAGAGAGGGAGAGGGCGAGAATTGTACGAGGCAAATCTTGCGCTAATTTCCCCACCGCGGAGGGATGTGAAGCTTGGAGGGCTCTGTTCGGGGTCGAACCAGTACCAAGAGAATGTAGGCCATCCGCATGTTGAACGGAATCACGGATCGCATACGTGATAATAGTGATAAATTTAAGAATCGACCAACAGAATCTGATCTCTTAGGGTGACTAGTCGGTTTTTTGATTTTGCAGTTTAAACTTCATATTTTCGATAAGCACAGGAGGAAAATGCTTCACTAGAATTCTGGTACATGCCAGCGTAACCACATCTATTCCACTTCTGTCGAGTTTTTCAGTGTCTTCGTCACCATGGAAAGGCGTTAATTTTGAACACGAGCGTAATCGTGCTCCTTATCGCGTACACGCTTATCGGCGGCTTTATTTTCCTTCATTTTGAATACAATTATGCTCAATTTATGAAGATGAACGACACACTAACGAAGAAAGAATGCATTGAGAAACTGTTAAGGAGGTTTGTTCTTTGTTCAAGTAGAGTTTCTTGGAAGTATGGAGTGCTCAATCTTTATAATGGTGAGCCATTGCTGAAAATTTATGTAGAATAGAGGGAAAGAAAGAAAAAAAAATGGTTTACCTTATGTTTCTTCAGCTTTCCCATTCATTATCACTTATGTAGTCCATACCTCAAAATGTCACCATCTATACAGAATAGATTTCCCAGTTCAATCTCACAGCAAGAAAAAGCAAACTTTGGAAAAACATGAATAGAATATGTAAAAGAAAGTTATTCGCTTCCAGTTCCTCCTTTACTCATTATTTTCATAGCCCTGTTCACGAAGAATCATAGAAGCTGCAGCAGCATATTTCCCGCTTAGCGGAAGACTTCCTACTCGAGTAAAACATTTTCGTAACGTCCCAAGATTAATGTTAGGCTCTTCTAGAATTTCACCAAATACAGTGCTCGATTAGTATGGCTGCACTTTAGCTGGCTATTGATTTTTTCCGTCACTTCATTATTCTTCTTGCAAAAGTGTATCTTGTCTGGAACCCCTTGAGACGTATGGACGTCACTGGAGAAATCTATAGATGCCTCTTATGATATCACCAGTATAACTAATACCGTGCAACTTCTAGGCCATAAGAGACGTTTTGGAATTCATCAAAAATTGAACGACAAACCACCCAAGTAGACACAAAAGTGAAAATTATCATGTTCTACGAGAATGAAAGATCTGTATTCCTTAAAGAAGCACGTGTTGATGAAAAACACATCAGAAACGTATAGATACTTTTATTGCAGTAAGCGTTCACACATTTGCGACGATACGACCTCTACAGGAAACATACGGCAAGGGTTATTGTAGCCGATATGATTTTTACAGAGGTCGTTTTGTTTCAGATGGTTTTGCATGGGTGAACAGAGCCGTTTTCACACACTTCTTGTAAGTACTCTGTAACTTACCCAACACATATTGTAACCATCATTGAACAGAAAAATTCCTATTCTCTGCTTGAAAAATGTGCAAAGAACTTAATCAAACTCTGCCTGACTTAACTGAGGGCGCTTGTGGCGCAGTGGTCGGAGGCGCCCTGCAACTCACAAATGGGATCGATCCCCACGCCCCTGGCCCACCAAGCCTTCATTCCTCCTGGGGTCGCTAAATTGGTACCAGGTTTGTCTGGAAGTATGGCAACACTGGCTCGATACATCGGTAGGCCACCGTGGGTCATTGTAAAGGCCAGATTTGGATTTAATCACCTCCAACGATACTTAATGAAGTTGAATGCACCTCAGGGATTGATCAACGCCGAAACCATTAAATCCACTTTGGAACTTAAGAACTTTAACTCTAGCATAAATTGCAGGGCACTAAAAAGTGATGAAAAAAGTGGTTGAACGGCAGAAAATAGTAACACATAGTAATGAAATGACACCATGAATGCCATTCACGGAGTGATAGAGCGATGTTCTCTATAATTTTGTAAATGTCATTAATCCTCCTAGTCCTTTAGTTACGAAAAACAGTTGCCTGTTGTCATAAATGTGATCAGTGGGATGCCAATAATGAGCAATACTCTTCTGAAGAGGCTTTTGTTCATGGAAGAGAGTCACATGAACTGCCGCACACTGTCTATTTGACTTGTGTTTTACTGATTGAGTACGCATTACTTCAAGGAGCCCCAGAACAGTGTTTGTTACTGCTTTCGCAAACAGTTACCGTATGTTATCAAAGGCAGTTCTGCCACATTGGGTCTAGTTGATAATAGAACGAAGGTGATTATCATGGCATCGATTTTTGTTAATATTTGGCTCTTCGGATAAAGAACATCAGAACTCTCTCTGTATCGGTAGGATGGAACTCATCCAGGAATACCTCCAGGCCGCGGCTAAGTAGTAGCTCATTGAAATGGGGGTCTAATTACTAAAAAAAAAAATAAGAGTGAAACTGAAAAGACAAAAGTGAAAGACAATAAGAAGAATTCTCGTCACTCACTGTTAGTCCATACGTTCATCTCTTTGCACTAAAACTGAGAAACGGCGGAATATTTTATAGATGTGAAATCTATACGATCAATTCTTGATTTCCTTTCTTTTTTTTCCTTTTTTATTCGTCATCCTTTCTTCATAAAATTTCCTACGAACTTCCAGGGATCGCAATCTACGATCATCACATGAGACAGATTTCGCTCATGTGATTGCTGAAAAATGTCTGACAGAAGTGCAAGCTGCCGATCCACGTCTTGAATGGTCCTTCAAAACGGCTGCCCTCTTCGGATTCGGCATTCTCACCACTCTTGGTATCATAATCGTACTGATAGAATATTCAAATAATCGTATTTACAAATTTGCTTCGATTATTAAAGATGTTTTATTCGCATGAGATATTTTCGATGTTGAAAAGGGTAACATCTGATTGTCTTTCTAGCAAATATCATACACATAACAACCGCTTGTTCCTGAAAGATTCATATTCAGGTTTTTTTCGTTTCCTTTACTAGGATATCCTCATCTTTATATTATGTTTCTAATCTTTTGATCTCGAAAGACATCTAAAGATACTTAAGAAAAAATAATTTAAAGTGGTTTCTCTTAAATGAACCCAGGGAAGCACCGATGAGTTCTGCTGAATTATTAGATCACTCGGAAATAAATGTCAGAGTTGTAGTGTCACATCCTTGTGCATATTCTAGCAGTAGATTATTTTTTCGAATGGTGTACTTTTATGTGTAGTCGAATCGTAATGTAGGCTGGGTGCTGATAGATTTTGAAGGTTAGAAGTTGAGACCTCGAAGCAGCAATTTCGACAAATTGGATTCTAAGAATTCAAATCTGGACGTGTAAAACACAACAACACCAAACATTGACGAGGTGTGGTACTCTGGAAGTGTTAACGAATCCACAATGTAACGTTGGCTTCAAAAATATTGTGATGAATTCGACATTGAAGGTGAGGAAGGTTGGGGACGCCTTCTTGCTATTCGCTAGGAATTGAAGGTTGCCATTGCAGAAGGACTCGTTGTAAAATCAACCGTTTTGGAACCCCTTGAGACTATCAAAAGGCTGAAAAATTTCGACAAATGAAGGCCGCACGAACGACAATCAAGGAAGTTGCCGTTTTGGTGTTTCGTCGGTGTTTCTTCTACAGAACTGGAACGAGTCACTTCTCGACTATACCGTGACATAAGACGAAAAATAGATCGACCGCAAAAGCCGGAAACTATCGGCTCAGTGGCTGTTCCTCGACGAATCTCCGTAGCAGTGTTCTTTCGGCTGAGATTGCGCCAAAACAAGGCCATGCTGACTGTTCGGTGGTCTACGGTTAGTTTGATCCAGATTCTTCAATCTGGGTACTTCGTCGCCTCCAAAACTCGAAAAATTTATTTGACTGGTGTAAATAAATGTTTGTCATTGGCTAAATGCGTATATTTTAATGGTTTTAATTTAGATAATTAAGTTCTTTCTGGACTGAGACATGCTACTTGAAAAGCACGCAGTGAAATCGAGCATTAATTTTAGAAGAGCCTAATAATATTATATAATATATCCTTGAAATCGTAAATTTCTCTTTAAAAGCCTTTTTCTGAAGAATTTTGTTTTACCTCGTGGTGTTCTGGCTCTCAAAAAAATAGCTTAAATTGGAGAGGTTAGCTCTCGCTACCCACAACAGTGGTTTTAAAAGAAATTTCTACAAATTTTTAGTTTGTTTACGAAATGCTAAAGGATGCAGTCAACTTGAAAAGTTCTAGATAACGCATGACAGCCTTCCTCTCGCTCTAATAAATACTGTTTTTTGCATTTCTAAATTCTAATTTGAATTTTGTCTTCCCATCAACCGTAAAGATTTAGAACTTTTTATCGTTCGACTCCGAAGAGACCAATTTTTACATGGGAGTTCGCTTGTTTTTCTTGCTGATGATCACATCTGATTTTTTCTAGCTGAAAAGCCATATATCTAACAAAATGAGATAAATCGACGAAGAACACGATCTAATCTTATTTTTATATATATATATTATATGTTTATATATATTTATATATGTTTGTTTATTTATGTATATATTATATTTTTATATATTTATATATATTATATTATTATTTTATTTGTATTTTTTTTATTATTTTATTATTATATACATTATTATACTATTTTTTATTCTATATTTTTATTCTTTAATTTTTTTTAATTCGAGAACACGATTTATGACTGTAGGGAATATAAAACCAAATCAACATAAATTCCATTCCCGACGGGATTGGTGAATCTATTGTCGAATCTGCAAAACATCGCTGCGAATTTTGATGGACAAGTTTGTAATATTGAAACCCGGACCGATTGCTGGCTTGTCAGTGTTGTTGTTGTTGTTGTTGTTGTTTTCAAATAGAGGAAACTCGTCCAGTGTAACTATCGTGGCCAACTTTCCGTTAACCTCGGCATTAATCACTCACCTAATGTTTTCTTCATGAGCACATAGGGGTTGTTACTACTCCATTTATTCACAATAACCAACATTTCGGCGGTTTCGTCTTCTTCAGAGCGTGGAAAGGTCAGATTGATACTCATTCTGTTGACCTAAACGTTTTCACAACTTCAGTAGAAAAAACTTGTAAGGCAAATGCTGATCTAAATAGGCATAATTACAATTTAAATTTCAATCGCACAGAAAGCACCTTCTTCTAAACACTCACCGTTTTGCTCTTTTTAAGTCTTTCAGTTACATTTGAAGACCAAAGCACAGAGGTATTACATGGGTGAGGAATGTGCTCGACTCAGGTCAAAAAATCACCCTAAGGAATGGCTTGTGGTCAAGCATAATCACAATGAACTACTTGCCGTTGATTTTTGGACTTCGGGAATTAGTCTAAAGCAGTTCAGGAGTATTATGCGCTTATGTTTTGGATTATTGGTTGAATGATCATTGTGAGAGGATAGTGACTTCTACTCAAGAATCCCGCCACGCCTTCGTTTCTTATACGTGTCCAGTGGAGTGTTTTTGTTTAGCTCTACGCTTACCAACTAGGTGTTCCTTTATAAAGATGCACAGAAGTCTATCTATTTCGTCAACGTGTTCGTCCCCACACCCTTTAGAAGAGGTCAGATGATGATTGAAAAATGAGTGATTGAAAGTGATTGAAATCTTGGTTTGGAGTTTCTTTGTTTGGTTATGGAGGCGTCTGGCCGAGTAGATTGCTGTCAACTTGACCTTTCCAGGCTCTGAGGAAGGCGAAATCCGCCGAAACGTCAGCTCATTCGTGAATAAAGAATAATAACACCTCGCGTTTGCTCAACAAAATACGAAGAATTACTTGTTCAATGCCGAGGTTAATAGAAAGTCGGTCGTGGGAGTCAACTCACTATATTTGTAGATCGACCTACCAAATTCGATTTGGCTCTACGGACTTTTAAATTAAAAACATGTTTTCCCGCCTTGTACAACCTTTCCCTTTCTAAAGAAAGGTTTCTAATTTGAGACATTCGTCTATTAAGTACATGGAGTTTTTTTAGGATACGGAAAAGTTGAACCAAAAACAATAAATGGTCGTCTATTCACTGTTATTTATGGCTTTATTGGTATTCCAATGACAGTAATTCTATTAACGAATATCGGACGATATTTGGAACACGTAATACTAAAAGTGAAACAGGTGTGCCATTTAAAGGTGAGCGATGACCTGCGTAGTTACCGTAACCATAATTCGTCGCTCCTAGCTTCACGGTGTTCAGGTTGGCGATACTGATAACGGCAATTTTAGTGGAACAACACTATTCTTTGTCATGATTCTTTATCTGGTGAGTTCTATCCCCATAAACAGTAGACCTTTTTTAGTGGTTTTTTTATTATAAATGGATATGGCTGTCGGCGTCGAGTAATCGGTGAGGGATGTGGCATGATTCGACTTCATTACGCACCATAAGAGATGAATGAATGCATATCTGGCCTTTACAACGACTCGTGCTGGCCAATCGATAGATCCATTCAGTGCTGCTATCCTCTCAAACAGGTCTAGTACCAATGTAGCGATCCCGAACGGATGGAAGACTTCGTGAGCTTTGGGCGGGGATCCATCCTATGTGCATTACAGGGCGCCTTTAACTACTGAGATTCACGTGGCCCTTTTTATTATCGCCTCAGAAAACCATGAGGTATAGAATAGGTGATGGCTACGTCGTTAAAGATAGTGATAGGTATCACTACCGAGAGCGATTGCGAATGTTCGTTATTTCGGTTTACATTTGCCCTCTATTTTTCTTCTTGTTTGAACTTTTTTCAAGATTTCTTTTGCGAATTGGGTTTTAAAAACGTCGTTAGGCCGTCTGAAAAGGAAAACATTTAAGAAAAGGAGCCTTAGTCTACAGTACATGGTAAAGATGCCTTTCATTTTAAAGCGTGTTCCATTTTGTTCGTTTCGTTTTCGGTATTTCCATTTTCTGTTCCTAAATTCGTCACAAAATTTAAGGATGAGCTAGTTTTCAAAAAGTTGCTTTCTTCCGTATGAAATCCTGGAAGAATGACAGCTGGTAATTCCTTATTCATCAACGTTTACTGTCGTTTTGATTGAAGTGAACGGTATCTAAGTGATAGAGGAAACAAAACTGATTTTGCACTAATAAGCTTAGCAAGACACATGAAGAGAATTTTTAAAGCATTTGCTTACTTTTCCCTTGTTTTTTGTAATTCTTCACTTATAGTCCGGAGTGTTTTCCTAGGTCAAGGATTTCTAGAAGTGGTGATGGCTTTTCTCTTTCAGTTACTTGGTGCATTGTTCATTCCGTTGTTACACGGTGAACTCGACTTCTTCAACGGAATTTATTTTGCGTTCATCTGTTTGACAGCCATTGAATATGGTGATCTTGTGCCTGACAAGTACGTTTATACAGTGGAAAATTTTGATAAGAAAGAAGAGGCTGTTTCTGTTAATATGACTGGAAAAATAAAAAAGGATAAAGCTCTCGGCGTTGGCCACGAATGCGTATGCTGCCCACACAATAACATCCGATGGTTTACCGACGCAGCAAGTCAGCGCTGCTGTCCTTCCAGACTATCTACAACAATTTTGCAGATCTCGGAGGAATGGAAGGCTTGGTGAGTCCGGAAAGCAGAATCAAACCAGCGACCACGTGTGTATATCAAGACGTCTCTAACCACATCGTTATATGCACCTCCTATTTTAAATGCATAATTCTACTTATAGTTTCTATAATGCCGAGATATTTGCAAAACTCCGGACCGAAGGTGTCTGTGGTAGGGAACGAAGGTGCTATTGTCCTTTCCAGGGAGTAACGCGTTCACCACCACATCATGCGGGCTCTTCGTTTCTCCTGTCTCTCAGCTAGTTCTATCGATCTTTTGCCATCAGCAATCACCCGTCAACGGGATTGATCTGGGGAGCCCAAATCGGCATTGAGCCGAGTTAGGCTGAGGCTATAGTTACAATCATAATCATAACCTTTTTATTTACTGCTTATTATTTTTAACAGCAGGGTATTTTGTGAAATATAGTTACTATAACGCTGAGATGGGAAAACTGGGTTCAATGGGTTTTAATTTTTCCAATTAGTTTTTTTTTAAATTAATTTGGTTCAATGCCGACTTGGGCTCCCCAGATCAATCCCATTGACGAGTGATTGCTGATGGCGCTGATCGATAGAACTAGCTGAGAGACAGGCGAAACGAAAGACCCGCATGGTGTGGTGATGAACGCTTCACTCCCCGGAAAAAACAATAGCGCGTTCGTTCCCCACCGCAGACACCTGCAGTCCGGAGTTTTGCAAATATCTCAGCATTTCGTAACATACCCTGCCGTTAAAAAGAACAGGCAGTAAATTAAAAAGTTATGATTGTGATTTGATTACAGTATGATTACAGTACTAATTTTGAGTTTGAAATCGCTAAAGACCTACTGTTTGTCTTATTTTAAAAGTATATTTAATCGAGTTGCTTCACAATGATCGTTACAGTAACTGGTTCATACCTATCGTCATCGCCTACGTGTGTATCGGATTAGCCATTTCAACAATCGCATTAGGTGGGCAGCAACTACCTTAATCTCTCATATTTCCTATTCAGAACGACTTTTCTCATCCTTTGGAACTCTACTTTGAATAAAAACAATAAGTCCCTTTTTCGTCTGTTGAAATCAATCGAAAGCCTATCTTATCGTTCTCTTATCGCTCATATTATCTACTACCATTTCGCTCCCTGCAGCGGTTTACCGCCTCATCATGGCCGAGAGGTGTTCCTCCTGAATGTCGGACTGCGGTGTACAACGGGGGAATTCATCCTTCCAGAGGGGCCTTCCAAGCTGAGGAGCCCGGCATTTCCAAAAGGAAGCCCAGCTAAGAATAAACCAATACCAGGATTCACCACCGCTCCGGCATCACACTAGACGCGTGGTGGAAAATCTGCCTCTGATCCACAAGGACGGCAATTGCCTTTGGTGGTGACGACCTGCGATAAATTTTCTCCTTGCTCAGGACTTCAGAGAACCATAATGGCTAAACTAGCAAAACTCCGAAAAGTGGAAATCATGATGGGGTCCCTACAACCAGTGAACACAGGCCATCCAAAGCGTGCAGGTAAGTAAGTACTACTTTTCTGCTTAGTCTCCTTGAAAGTGAATTTTGAAATCGTGTTGAGTTTTCGCCAACACTAATCGAGTTTTTCTGAAGTTTCTCCCTTTTCTAAGGAAATACTAAAAGTAGAGTCTGCTATAATGCAAAGTAGTTTTTGAATGTAAATTTTTTCAAAGTTCAACTGGTAATTTGTTTGTAATGAACTTGAAGAAATCAAGGAATGGCATTTCACGACGACGAAGCAGCATCAAATCGTAGAGTACACAATATTGCAGATTAAAAATTGGTGCACCACTAATGTTTTTCATTTTAACTTACTTTTACTGTTAAAAAAGCCAGTAAAAAAATTCGAATGGAGAAAATAGGTCCTTGTTTGAACTTTATAATAGCCACCACATACGTTTTCTATCGTTAGTGGTTCTTTCGTAGAGAAGAAGGCTTCTCATTCTAAGGAAATATAGAAATCTTTAAACTCCTCTAACTGAACCTATTTCTACACGTCGTAAAACTTTTCTTCATGCTAGGGGAAAAGTGGCTAATTTTGATTAATGTCTTGGACCGAATTTCTGTGAACACTCATCCACGCTTATCAAAAAATCCCTTTGGAGAGACACTGCAAGGCTGTGACACCAGTCTCTCTGGAATTTGTGTTCCTTTTCTTCGTAATCTCTATGAGATCATTCATCCACTATATTTCCTTTTTTCCTTATTTTTTTATTTACTAAATGGGAGATTTTCAGTGTTTTATTTTAGATATTGGATCCTACTATGTGAGAAAAATGCATTACATTGGTAGACAGCTGAAAAACATCGCCAACATTCGAATTTGGTTCGGTGCGAAGAGGTGACTATGAGAGATGAAACTTCTCAAATAATAACAACACTCAGTATACATTTTATTTAAGCTCATCTTTTTAATTCTTAGAAGACAGATTTGGATTTTAATTTCAGTTTACAAGTGAAAGAACTAGTCAGTGCTGTTGGTCAGAATATTGGAATAAGTGAACACGCAATGGCTGACATCGATCTGGAAACACTCGTCAATGTCCGTCATTATCAGTCCATATACATATATTACTAGTATTATCAATATTATTGTTATCACTACTATTGTCATTATTATTCTTGGTTATTTTTGAAAAATTAAGTCGGCGATACTAGTGAAACTCGGTCGGCTAACCCGCGTTCCACAAACGCACATGATTGTCGATGGAATTTGGCCACCTGAACTCGTACCACTCTTCATTAAGGTTGTCTGTCTTTCACCATATTGTTGTCATGTAGATAACATTGTTGGTTATGAAGTGAATCTAAAGCTTTAGGACGGAAATTTTCCTATGTTCGTTGATTCAGAAGAGGAACTTCTTGATGCGACACCGAAGAAAACAATGGTTCGATTTCAGGTAAGTGTTCTTCAGGACCATATCGACTATCTTGCATTCCGTATTGATTTCTTCGACATTCTGGTTCACAACGCTGCATCATACACTATCGAAGAGCTGAACTTAGTCTTTTTTGCGCTGGCTTATAGCTTAACTTCAACATTCAGCAACCTGTTGCGGAGGACTATGGAATTTCGAATGAAAGAAACAATTTTGCTGGTGAACCAGAAAATTTCAGTAATCATCGTTTTCCTTTTTAATTTTTGCCCTGCTTTCTTACGGCAGTTGATAAGAGTCAGTGTGGATTTTTGGGTTGGTGCTGTACGTCTGAACTTTAGAAATCACTGTAGGAATTTTTTGACGCTCCTCTCTACAACCTTCCATGAAATAAGATTTCCGATATGTCGACAGTAGTTTCTAACCAACGGAAGATAAAAGATTTACCCGCACATAACATGAAATCACAGTCATACAAGCATACACATAAAGAAGCCATCGTTCTGAGATAACTGGGCTTGTAAAGTGCAGTGGTCAGGTTGGGGCGTCACAGAGTCGATGGTTTAAGACAGCTCCGCAGGAAAACCAACGCTTTCATTATTTTGTAGTCGGCGAATAAATAACAGGCTTATTCGGGACAATAAGAACAATGCCTTTCTAAATTATTAAGCTAACATGAGGCTGGCGAAAAGATTTATTTAACTAACGTCTCGACGTCTTCCTCTTCTCCAGAGCGGGATTGATCGGAGTCGATGGTTCATAGGTAGTCGCCTTCACGATATGAGTGCTTTTTGTCGGTCGATAGTTCACTCCTCAGAAATTGACCAGTTCCAAACACGCTATCATTTGTTCACTGAGATAAAGTTTAAAACAATAACACTCGCGGTGTTGATGGAGCCTCGAGGGATACACCGTCCATTTGACTTTATCAAGAATTTTTAAAAGTCATTGAATCTATATGTCTGGCCTATACAGTTACTTAAAGGGGCTACCAATGTATCAGGTCAGTGCTGTTGTCTTCTCAGAGAAGTCTGGTGCCAATTTGCCGATTCCGGAGCGATGGGAAACTTCGCGAATTCGGGCGCAGGGTCGAACTGAAGGCCATGTGTATATTTCGGGGCACCCCAACCACTGCGCTACACGTACACTATTTAGTAAGATCACTGGTGGCGATTTCGCGGCCGTGGCAAATAAAGAATAAAACGCAACAGAAGCTCCTAAATAAAATATGCTCGTCATCATTTCTAATTATTTCAGTAATTTTGTTTAAAATCTACTTCGTTTTAGGACGAAGTGAATTCTGATGTTGAGGACATAACAAATGCAGACATTTCCCCCTTCAATCAATCTCGACTATCTTCTGATCCAACTGCTCCGAGTGCAAAGTCAATTGCTCGAACGTCGTACGTACGTTCTCGTTCTTTGGAATCCGAGCAAAGTCTTCAGAACATCACTGTAGATACAATGATCTGATTAGATCTAGAAAATAGAAACAATCTCTAGATTTCAGTCATAAATGTATTACAGGACGTTGACTGATGGATGGCCAGGAATTCTCTAAAGTGTTGCATAAAGTTTTAGAAGGGACCGAATTTTAAATGAGGACTACTACTAACAGCGGTAGCGAAAATCCAGACCCTGTGTTTTTAACATCAATCATTTGGTTTCAATGAAGTAATTGTTTTCAGAAATAGAATAAATCCTTATGAGAGCTATCTTGTACGGTATTCTTCAGTATTTCTATGCAATGAAATCTATTTTTTATATTTTTTAGGACAACACGCATTTGATATTCTTTAATTGCACATGTGTTAGAAAAAGTCCTATGAAGTTTACGATTTTTCGTGATTCCTATTTCAACAATGCTAAGACCAAATTACTAAGGGAAAAGAGACTATGCTGAAAAAAGCCTGTGCGTGAGATGCTAACCCTCCGTTAGTGGTTGACGATGCTAAATGGGGTTGACCTGGTGAACGTCCTTGCACGGTTATCTCGGGGCATCAGTAAACGAGACAGGACAAATGCATTAAGGTGACAATTTCTAGATACTAGTCATTTCACTACCTACGAATTTGTGAGCATCCAACAAAACGAATAGTCCAGACAATCAGCACACACCATAAACAGGCCTTGTTGTTTTCTCCGATGTATTTGAATACCCACTCCATCACCAAACAACATGTCCAGCAGGCCTACAAGAATGGTCTATCACAAGAGACTTTAAGCAAACGCGAAAGAAAATCAAATGTTCTAAAGACACTATGTAGAAAATGACGTTAAAAATTATATGTGTAAAAGTAAACTGCACCACATTTAGAAACCACCAGCAATGAAACACCGTTGCATGAAGTGCGACGTAAACAATGCTTAGACTTCCCACTTCCTCTTTGTCATTCTTAATTTAGATCGACTTTTGCCGAAATAATGGAATCAATCTATCTATGCTGAACATTACCATCTTCAGCAACTCTTTCAAGCACAATGGAACTTCATTTCTTATTCTCATTGTCACCTGAATCACTTTATGACATGAAAAACCACACCTAAGTTGCCAACTAAAGGCATCATTACTGACCATAATCGCTTCACATATGTACTACATTAGAGTCCATGGCTTTAAAAATGTAGGCGAATTCAAGGCTCCAAACCTTCAAAACCTGATATATGCTATGCTGAAGAAAAATTCTACTAGAAAAATCAGGGACCAGAACCATACATTATCTGTCTATATTGGCAAAACCTCATAAAAAACCTGTATAAGTAGAAAGACAATGCTAGATATTGTCTTTATGTAGTCAGCCTTTCTCCCAACGGTTTACCGCCTCATCGTGGCTGGAAGGTGTTTCTGAGTGTTAGGCTGCGATGTGCAGCGGGGGATTTGTCCTCTCAGCACAGCCTCCCAAGCTGAGAAGGAATCCGGCGATTCAACAAGGGAGCCCAGCTAAGAGTAAACGAATACCAGAATTCACAACCGTCCTAGTGTCACACTACACGCATGGTTGCCTCTGATCTAGAAAGGCGTGGACTGCCATTGATGGTAACGATCTGGGGCAGACTTTGTCCTGGCTCACCTCGTGGCTCCAGGGAATCACAGTGGCTAAAGCAGCAAAACTCCGAAAAAATGGAATTTGCGCTGAGGACCGCACAATCATTGAAGATGGACCATCCGAGTATCGAAGTAAGTAACTAGTCAAACCTTTATGACCCAATTGTTTAGAGTTTATCCTTTAAAAGTCACTCTGTTACAATGCAAATGTACAAGGTACTATGTTCCACGGTTTTACATGAGTCACAAAGATGACAACCCGTAGCTTCCAAAGAAAATTTGTGTAGTCGTTTCTCAGTTTCAGTTTAAACTGTAGCAGTTCGAAGTTCACGACCACATCACTGATGCCTTCGTGTTTAACCTGAATGCGGTAGCATAAGGAGAACCACCCTTTAAAGTCAAAAAACCAACCACAAATTTTTTTTATTACTTCGTCTCGTCCGACACTTCGTTAACATATCCACTTGTTGGTAGACGTATCCGAAACACAGGATCAGAACTGATCGCACCTCGACTATCGAGCAAACTGAATTAGGAATCAGATATGGTGGAACTTAGGACAGTCACAACACATTCGCCTGAAATAGTAAGACTAAAGAAGTAGTCAATACCTCGGTGATTCCGCCATACAAAGCCTCCAACAACAATTTCGGAAAATTGACTTAAATGCGTACGGATTGATAACTTGTTGTGACATTCGTTTATTGTTGAACGTTCCCTTGATCTGAAAATTAACACGAAACTGAATGAAACAACATTCAATCAAAGGTGTAATTATAATTGGCAAACATCACCGTCACATGTAAACCCGATCGTGTGACTACAGAATGCACCTGTAGAATCTTTGCTGTCTCTTCTCTTCATCAGAGCAGATGATCCGAGTCAACAGATATCACAATTCAAGCAAGTGGCATGAAGACGAAGACGCCGAAACGTTAGCCGAGTAAAACTATATTACCAGCCTCGTGCAAACTCAACGATTTAAGCGTTGATTATTTCACTACCGAGGTTAAGGCGGTCGGTTTGAGAACATTTTTTCACTCCTGGCGAATTGGTTTCCACAGGCTACTCGTCGGGCTCACCCGAAATACACTTGGAGCTTATTAGTTCGAGGTGACTCCGAATCACCATGCTTTGCAACCCAGTGACTCTGCATATGACGTACATGCATTGAACCCTTGAATGTGCCCACCCCTCACAGGAGGCATGTGGTCGTATTTGATCGGGTTAAATTTTATCAAGCACCTTAAAACCAGTTACTTATACATACCTCGACAGTGGATCTCTCACGCAAGGATATCTACTGGTTATATCTATACTCCTAAATTTCAAAACCAACTATCATTTAATGCATAGATGATTTATCAATGTTTTCTTAAATGGACAAGCTACTAAGAGGTTATTGTGGTTTATTCGGATAAATCCTTTAAGTATTAGTCTTCTTCAAGGTCGCGATGGTGTGCGAATGGAGTACTGCTGGAGTGATGGGTCCCCATTCGAAGCGAAGACGATCGCGTCGAAACGCTAACCGAATAGAATTTCATGGCGACCTCGCATTAGCTTAACCACCTAAAAAATACACCTCTTATAATTATTTTAAAAAGGCAAGGTAACATGGTGGCAATGGTGCGGTTTAGTATGCGCTATGCCCTGATTCGGCTTCGCCTTGCGCGAATCAAGGCTTCATCTCTTCAGCGTCGGGAAATTGGCCTCACACTTGCCTGCGAACAGTTGTCTGCTCCCAATCCATAAAAGTTGGTGACTGTCTGTAACGAACATCTGAGAACGATGTTCCAGAACTCCATGGAAAATCAACTTCAACAGTATTCAAGGACATTCTGAAGACTAAAAGTCTTCAATTAGTAGGGGAAAAAACAAACGCCAAATCCAAAAACTTTCGTGAAGTATGAATCTAAGCGATGATATCGAATGAAGAAAGTGCTGAGGAGCACGCAATGACTTTCAGGTCGCGTAGAAAAAGAGCTAAATAGAAGCAAGAATGATTTCTTTTCGATTTATTTAAATGCATACGAGATCACTTTTCACGAAGGGTTACCGGACCATAGACACTTGGAGATATATGAAATAAAACATAGGAACTCGAACTCCCACACAAAACATACATAGAAACTAACAAAAAAAATGCCATAAAGTTATAAAAAACTTTTAATTAATGTAGAACTCGCCTCTTCGTTTGTCGTTTGATTTGTAGCCACAAGATAGGTGTGAAAACCAGCTAATCCAACAATCGACCTGTAATCACAGCCTGATACCTTTCCCTTCAAAACCAGATGAACCATGATCGCACACAAATAAATAGTCTAATAGTTAAAGAGAGATTTCACCATTGAAACCAGCTAAATAACGGTATAAAATTCATAAGAGATAAAGGATAGAGTGTTTGGCTATGATCAATCGCTGAGGAAGTCTGTACACTGAATCGTTGTGGCCCACCAATGTATCAAGTAAGTACTGTAATCATTCCAGACAAGTCTGGTACTAACTTGGCGACTCTGGAAGGATAAAAAACTTGGTGAGCCCGGAGTGCGGGATCAAAGCAAAGACCATATGTGTATTGCAGAACACCTCTAATCACTGAGCTCCACTCACCCCGTATACAAGTATAATAGTAAAAAATACTTGCATAACGTAGTGAAGATGCGAAACCTACCATACTGAGAAAAAACAGATTAGCACAACGACAAGAGAGACCGGCGACTTTCTCACTGCGCTGAGAAACTGGTCCGTTCGTGATACTGAACACAATAAATGAATCTCATGATCTAAACCCCTTCATCTTTTGGAGTGCTACCAAATCTTTCTTTCTTCGTTCGCTAGCAAGTTATCTTTTGATATTTCAAAAAAGGTGAAGAAAATAAACAATTCTTCCATTTGGAAGGATTGATCTTTTACGTAGTACTAATAACATTCATCACTTACATATCATCAGGTGAGCAAGTGAACACCCAAAAATGCAAACTATAAGCATTGCCAGAAAAACGATGAAAAAATAAAAATGGCGGTAGTTCCTCTGTCCGATACAATTACCGACCCATGGACCTGCAACAGCAAAGTTTTATTTTCGTATAGGATCCTATTCCGAAACGATTAGACGTGAATGTATAATAAATTGCGAAAAAATCGTTAGAGAGAGAAGATAAAAAATGGAGCATATGCCGTCTCAGGGATGTGCCAGGTGGTTGAATGCATATTCGGCTAGAACAGTGGGTTATGGGTGTCTACCGATGAGTGAAATGAGTCAGCAATTTTCTTAATGATTGAAATAACTCGATGATAACAGAAAAACTTTTATTAGGCGAACGTTTTGACACCGTCGCCTCCGTCAGAGCCGCTGTGACCCGAGTAGATGGTTTCAAGCTGTTCGTTGTTGCGATGTGGGTGCTCGTAGTTGCATCGAATCGAATCCAGTACAGGAGTCAAACATAATCATTGATTATTGCTGCAAAGGTTTAATGGGATTTAATTTTTGAAATATTTAATTGCTTTATTTTCCCTCTCAATTTAATTTGGGAACACATCGTTTAATGGGGGAACACAAATCTGGTAACATTTTACAGACGACGGAAGGACTGCGCAGGGAAAAGGGCTCGTTAACTCGAAAGACGAGATCGAAGCAACGACGTTGTGTGTATTTCAAAGGCACAGCTAACAATTGCCTCGTTTGGCTAGAAGGGATTTTGGTTCATTAGTATTGTCGATAAGGGCGCGTGTGGGTCAATGGTTAAAGGCGTCACTGCGACACACACGTGGAATCGATCCCCTCACCCATGGCCCACCAAGCCTTCCATCCCTGCGGGGTCAGCAAATTGGTACCAGACTTGTCTGGGAGGATAGCAGGCCTGGCTGGATACATCGGTAGGCCACCGCGAGTGGTAAAGGCCAGATATGCAATCAATAACCTCTAAACGATACTAAATGAAGTCGAATGCATGCCGCATCCCTCACGGATTGACCTACGCCGGGAGTTTGTCCTTTTATCCTTCAGTATTGTCGATTACTTAACCGTTAGTACTATCAAAACTATTGTATGGATGGAATGATTATGTCCATGAAATCATGAACGATGAAACAGAAATGCACAATAATTGTAGGAATGAAATCGTAAGGAATAAGGAGAAAAAGTCAGAAACAATTGGATAGATGTGCTTCGAAAAAGAATAACAGATATGCCATAATTGTATATCCACCAGTAATAAGCTAGTCTATTCATTAAACGAATTCTACTTTACCGTACCTCCAAGTCATAATGATAAGAACAAATAAGAAGAACAAAAGCAAAAAGTGGATGGACTCACAGTGGTGGTCGAAATTCAGTACACAGTTATCACATACTGAGCAATGAGAGCTGCGTGGTGGACGGAAAAAACGACAAGTAAAACAGTATTTCAACCTCACCACTTGGCCATTTATTATCACCTAAACGTCGACTGATGAAAAGTCATGTAACGACATTTGTCATTAACAATATTACAATTTCATTCTATCTGTATAGAGTATTTCTCAACTGGATGTTTGGATGTTCATCGCCCTAGTGAGGCGTCCCAAGCTGCAAAGTAGTTTCACACTTTCACTTAGAATGTCTTTCTGATATAAGACTAAACGAATGTCAACAATCATCACCATGCTAGCAATAACATGTTCATAAGCTTATAGGTGGTAATGAGTTGAGCGGGCTCTAGTAAAGCCTATAAGATTCGAGAACACGAAAATTTCAGTCATCCAGAAAAATACCAATAAAACAGAAACTGTGACGAAGTCTGTACATAGCGAGTTAGTGAGAACAGAAAATTCAAACACTCGAATATGGGACACAGGAAAAGGCCCTATGCCCACACAAAAACGTCCTAAGTATATAGAAAGCAAGTCCAAAACACTAAAAGAAAGGATGAAAAGCGAGTACCTGCTTCATTCTCGGTTGATCAGGAAGGATATTTGAATTCGGATTATAATCAGGATTAGAAATTATTTCTGAAATTATCGCTTTAGACTACAATGTTGGAAACATATTTTTGAAAAATCAGCTTGAGATACTCTAACCATGAAAGTATTGCCTAGATCGCTCTGCAACCTCCATGTCAGAGGCTCTTGGGATAATTCCTGGATCACTGAATGACGTCTTCAATAAGCTGATCATCATTATGAGGGACAGAAATGCAGCCAACCCTGGTAGCACAGGCGACACTTCAAAATAAAGGAATGGAGCACTAAAAGGTAGACAATAAACGAACGGTTACTTGCTGAAGACTTCACTGAAATTACTTCAAACATACTGCTTGCTGTAATTTATAATTCATTAAGACCATAAATACATTTACGCCAGCAAAAGCTAAATAAGATTCAATTATTCGGCCATTCATTCTATTGCACAGTTTTCCTGTTCTTTCTGTATTTAATCTATAGCTTATCCAAAATTTATAATGTAGTAGGCGTCGAAAGAGGGCGCGTGTGGAGCAGTGCCTGAGGCGCCCTACCTCATACACGTAGAATCTATCCCCGTGCCCAAGGCCCACCAAGTCCTTCTTCCCTCCGGGATCGGCAAACTGGTGCCAGACTTGTATGGGGGATAGCACCACTGGCTCGATACATCAGTAGGCTACCGCGAGTCATTGTAAAGGCCAAACATGCATTCAATCATCTCTAAACGATGCTTAATGAAGTCGAATGCATCGCGCATCCCTTAGGGAATGAACAACGCCAAGAGCTTTATCCATTTATTTTCAGCCAATTAATAGCGGCGCGTGTAACGAAGTGGTCGTAGGCGCCCTGCATTACACGTGGGATCAATCCCCATCACCCAAACTAATCAAGCTCTTCATCCTCGGCAAATTGGTATCAGACTGATATCGGAGGGTAGCAGCGCTGGCTCGATACATCGGTAGGCCACCGCGGATCATTGTAAAGGCCAGATATGCATTCAATCACGTCCAAACGATTCTTAGTGAAGTTGAATGCATGGCGCATCCCTCAAGGATTTATCAACAGCGAGAGCTATATCTCTTATCCTCATTATTACCCAACTAAAAATTTGCAAAAAAAAATCATTTCCAGAACAAGTTTGTTTCTTCCTAGCAAGTTTGCCGAAGAGACCGCTCCTGGTGAAGAGAGCACAGAGATGCGTGGAAACGTATTCATACCCCGTTTGTGCCATTTCTACTGTACTAAACCATGATCGCCACTGATTACGAGGATGCCTTTTGGCCACTCTGCATCACTAGCCATTTGCATCCATAATAGAAAATCCACGATCACTTGCTACATCGATGTAGTTGCATAACAGAACAGTTTTTCTTGCCAGTATGAGACTGATGTCCCACTTGCTGCATGACAAGATAAAGTGACTGGAAATCTGTTTTAAACTCGCTTCTTCTCGTCTCAGCTTACTTTTCAATTAATCTTATACCTTCTTGGTAGATCTACAATTGTATGATATGCTATTTGTTCAAATATCACTTAAGTAATTCAACCACCTCATAGTAGTTCCGTTACTAACTCATTGCTCATATGTATCCATGTATGAAAGTTTAATTACGCAAATTCATGCTCCCATTGGACTTCTAACAGACCTCTGGCAAGACGCAAGAAAACAAGCACACTCAAGTGCACCAGCCAATAGAACTGTTGCGAGGAGTACTACGATGTTTTTGCGTCACCGTGGTGTCCACCATGAGTCCAAGAATGACCGATTACCTTTTGTGTCGAAAGATTACCCCTCAAAATGTTGTTGATGAAATCAGCACCAAACAGCTTCTTTTTGTGAGCATTTTACCCTTCACGATTCACATATTGCTCACAGAACGCGTGACGTGACTGAAGAGAGGTTGGCGTCATCGGGTGCATGTTGATTCAGCTGTACTTGCTTTATTCCTTCATGAATGTAAGAATACGGCACAATAGAACAGCTAACGTAAAAACCAAGAAAAAAGAAGAGGCACCTAGTCAATTTCACTTATTTCCTTACTTATAATGAAAGAGAAAAAATATTTAAGTTACTATTAAAGTAAAGTTTTTCGACTTTTCCGATAAATTCTCGTCATAAGAAAAGCTAGAGCAGATAAGCAGATAAACTAAGCAGATAAACTCACTCAAAGACGAAAAATAAAGTTAGCGTGGTCGAAATCAGAAACAATGTGAAGACAAACACACTTATTTGCCGCGTCATGATGATCTGTAAAAAAATCCCAAGCTGAATGCTTTATTTCGAATATTGCTGAAAGCTTTATCAAGAAGTGCCTAAACTCATCCTCAACTATGGACCCGGTTAAGACAGCATACGGAAGTCTTCCACATGTAGCTGTGTCTATTTTGACCAGAACATTTACAAAGGCAATGTGTAGTCTAATGGACATCTCGATATGAATGTACATACAAACGCTAGTTAAGCTGTGCTTTTTCTGCGAGGGCCTAGGTATTGTATGCATCCGTATACCCCAGTGTTTTATAATGTTCCCAATTCATCCTTTTTCACACAGGTGTAATAGAAATCTCGAAAAAATTATTCGGGAATTAATGCACGATTTCACACATGTATCTTTAAAGAGGCACATCTCAGCCCAGATCAAAGCGTTTTAGTCCAGAACTATTAGAATCCACAGGTATTCTTGCCAACAACAAAAAAATTTAATTATTCCAGTTCCAAGATAATCCGGAATTGCGGGAGCAACGAATTCGCCGAAGGCAGTGTTGGTCTCATCATAATTTCTAAAGTGTACAGGTAGTTATTGTGATCTCGGAAATTGATAGTCGATAGGCGAAAAACCTAGCGAGTACAATGAAGAGGAGAGCTTAAAAGCGCAGCTACGGTTGGGTCTCGTGTTGCAGATTCGTACGGTATATTACGTACGTATTACGTACGTATACGTATACGTATACGTACATATTACGAACGCGCTCTATTGTCCTTACCGGTGAGTAGCGCACTTCACCACCACACCATCCGGGTCCTTCGTTTTGCATGTCTCTCAGCTAGTTCTATTGATCTTTTGCCATCAGCAATCACCCGTCAACGGGATTGATCTGGGGAGCCCAAATCGGCATTGAACCTGGTTAAGCTGAGGCTTAGTTATAATCACAATCTTAACACTTTTATTTACTTCCTTTTTCTTTTTAATGGCAAGGTATGTTGCGAAATATAGCTCGTATATTCCCCACCGCATACACCTGCGGTCCGGAGTTCTGCAAATATCTCAGCATTATATACGAGTTATATTTCGCAACATACCCTGCCATTAAAAAGAAAAAGGCAGTAAATAAAAGGGTTAAGATTGTGAATACAATTTATATTAAATTGTATAAAAAGGTGCAAGAGGAGAAAAATTACAGATGCGACATTATTTTTCGAACGAAATAATAATAACATACCCGGCCATCACAGAAGAACCTATTCCTTCCAGGATGGTGTTTCCACTTACGACCAGATAACCGTTGCGGATGTTCGGCCACGGTTGAGGTTTCTGGAGGTGAGCTTTCGCTAACCACTCTGACAACGTTAGAATCCGACGTGGACGACGGTGATGGCTTAGCATCACATACACCTTAAAGACATGCGTAAGAGAAACCATATTGAACATTTTCATAAACAAGAAACTTATTGAACTAGTAATACAAACGAAAATGAAACCGCTTAAATGAAATGAAACGTAAAATCACCTGCAGCAGAGATATTCGACGTCGAAGTGGAAGGTGGTATCTCTCTTATGTCCATTTCTGTCATTTCAGAGTCCCGTAGTCCAATCGTTTCCTCTGCCGTCTAGAAAGAGAAACGAGTAAGATTGACTGACTGGTAACAAGAAATTCACAAAAACAAAACCAGTGAACCGTCCGACGATGAATACAAAGAAAGAAAATAACAGGTTTAAATGCACATATGGTTTAAACAAACCTTAAACAACTACAACAACATCTAGTCGACACTGAACATTGTTCACTTTTTAATCGGACTTTACCAAACTTTCGAGCAAAAAAAAACATGCACAGCAGAAGGCAGTTGTATTCAGACAAGTAGCCAAGACCATTCGGTCAGTTGGTGTCGAATTTATTCTGTTATTTAGGGAAGACGATTCGTTGAATTCGCCACAGTAAAAGCATCTACACCGCCACAAGAGGCGGTTCCGACGGCAGGCAGGTCAGCCGAAATGATTAACGAGAAGCATCGATTCCAATCAAACACGACTGCGCAAACACTGGAATGGACTGCCATCAATGACTAATAGAAAAGAAATGGCACTAAGCGAACAGTCAAACTTTAGCGAAAATACACCAACTCTCACCGTATTTTCGTAGAAGGACCAAACGACATTTTTTCAACATTATTATTACCGTTATATGACTCAACTACACATGTACTACAGTGTTCAGATTCCACTTTCTTGCTTCCATTCAGTTCGTTTTCACACATCCTGCATTCACGAAGACCCTTGAACAACATTTTTTGCGCTGCAATTCTGCTGCTGCTCGAGGATCTCCGTCCTCATTACGAATGCCTAATTGTTGGCCTAGTCGATTGAACCTGGATCTTGAAGTGGCTCTGCTAGAGCGACCCCAGTTGCCTGATAAATTAAACTGTTTCCAGGCAGTCTGGTGCCAACTTCCTGACCCCGGAAGGATCAGAGGTTTGGTAGGAACAGGGGAACTCGAACCAGTGTTTGGGTGGGTTGCGCCGTCCACATAACGGTCGGTATGACTACCACTGTCTTATTCGCTCCTATAACATTCCTTTTATACATAAAACTGTTTACATAAGTGAAACATACGTCGCTCATTAATGTAAACCGTGTTCAAATTTCTTCCGCTGAAAAATTCCAAGCATAGCTGCCGTTGCGGCCGTCCAGTTAGCAGTAACGTAGAGGAGTCCTTGACGAACGAAACAGAAGAACACTTGACCACTGTCCTGTTTTCATTACCATTCCGCTCTATTCTGCTCTATTAAATTCTATTTGTTCATGATTTCCTCAAAAACTTCGCCAAAACCCACAGAGAGCACGATTACTGGGGACATTCGTTGCAGATTTCTATTGATTTAAAAGAATTGTTTGCATTCCATCAAATGACTGATGCATGTTGATTTTCATAAAAACAAATGACTTCTACCATACCACTTGGACAAATACATTTTCTTATATGCGTCAAACACGCAGAATCTAAAACGTTCAAATAGTTTCGCCTTGGCGCTAAAACTTGTCATAATCTAAGTAACCAGCTCCTACTAATGAAATAGAAAATATAAATAGTCACCTAAGATATAAAACAACCTATAAAGTAGGTAATGAAGACTACTTAAGCCAATAAAAACCTTATTGGTATAGTTCTCCTAACTCGGCTTCTAATTAGGGAAAAGGATAAATATCTCCTATTGGCCAATGCCTGATAGATGCACCGTGCATTCGACTTCACCAAACATGCTTAGAGGTGATTGAATCCATATTTCGCCTATACATTTACATAGGGCTGGCTACCTACTGATGTATCTAGTCAGCGCTGGTATCTGCTCAAATAGGAAGACACGGGATCAAACCAAAGACCACGTGTGTATAATCTCTAAACATTGCGCTCCATCTTCCCTCAATTTTTAAACAGTCAAAAACAAATTGAAATGTTATTAGTGAATCCTGCATGTTTCTTCTTACGACTGCTATTTCGTCATCTGATCGTAGCTGATCAATCCATATTAAAAAACGTATTAGTAAGTACACTAATGCAATAGCCTGTACAAACGAAGGAAAGAGCACGATTCTGAGTCGATGACGTAATGATCCATACCAAGTCAAGCAGTTTCTTTCACCGTCTATGCATTTTTCCAAATACGTTCTTCGAATTAGAACCATTAATCCCTTTGATCAACTTCCACGGAACAAAACAAAGTCACTCACTATTGCGGCGTTTTTGAAGCGAATTAAAAAACGGGAAAAGCCTTTCCTTTTAACTTATGCTCCACGCCAAAAAAATGTGAGGAAGCCTCTTTCCCAGCCACCAACTCTTCTTATCATTCCACATAAAATGATAGAGAATAAAGCTTTCGGTGTTGATCATTCCCTTAGGGATGGACCCTGAATTCGACTTCACCAAGCATCATTTGAGGTGATTGAATGCATATCTGGCGTTTACAATAACTGACGGCGGCCCACCGATGTATCCAGCTAGTGCTGCTATCCTCTCAGATAAGTCTGGCAACAATTTACCGACTTCGGGCAGATGGCAGGCTTGGTGGGACATGGGTACGACGATTCCACGTGTGTGTTGCAGGGCGCCTCCAACCGCTGCGCTACACAATTAATTAACCCCCTTAGTTTATTACATGGTTCAGCAAAAAAAAATACTGCCACTTTTGGGATGTATTTTTCGAGTACACTAATCACTGAGATGAACAAGTTCACTAAGCGCAGAGTATTGGCCGAAAATTTTGATGAGATTTTCCGCCCACGCAATTTCTCTTATTGTTCATGCATTGTCGCATTTATTTTCGTATAATTAGAGCTCTTTGTCAATTCCATGAGCTTTCAACGGAAAAACAGGGAAAAAGTTCATAAATGAGATAAACATTTTCCTCAAGTCACATTCTCATCGGGTAGTGTAAAGATACCTACCTCATCAAGCAACATCCTCTCATCTAATTAACACGGTGAGCACCCTACATGAGCTCGCCTCGAAAACAAGTTCGCCAGTGAAATGTTTGTCCAAGAGTGCTAATGATTGAGGCAACAGTTCAAATGATCACATATTGTGTTCAAAGAAAGAATAAGAATAAAGGATAGATGCCTTGGCGTTAATCAATTCCTAAAGAATGAACCGTGCACTCGACTCCATTGGTAACATCGAAGAAATGATTGAATGCATATCTTCTCCATGCCATGGTTTACGGTGGTCCACTGGTACATCAAATCAGTGCTGCTATCCTCTCAGAGAAGTATAGTACCAATCTGGCGACCCCGCAGGGATGGAAGGCTTGGTGATGCGAAATGGAACCCAAGACAACGTGCGCATTGCGAAGCAGTTCTAACCATTGCTCTACATACGGCCCCAAAGGAGAATAATAACGGTGTATTGGAAAGCACAAAGTTGTGCAAAGCAATGACTTTTCAAAGTCATCCAGCACGTAAATCAAGAGTGTATCCAGTTACCCTCGTTCTCTATGAGAAAAAACAAAATTTAAGTGGGAAAATGTCTTTAAAAAAGTTTTAGCGATGGAGATATTATTGTTTTTCAATCGACATCGACGTTGAAGAAATATGCCTCTCTGTATAATAAAGCATTACTCTTCCATAGGTATTCCACTAGAGTAAAAAAAAACTTAACTGAATAATCTGATAGTGCGAATGCCTCTATAAATGCGACGACTGTTGGATTTCACTCACAACTGAATACTCTTCTCTTATTAAATCGACATTAATACGGCTATTTCAAATCGTCCCTCTTAACGATTTACCGGCTTATCGTAGCTGGGAGGTAATCCTGGTTGTCGGGCTGCGATGTACAGTAATGGGATTCATACCTCCAGTAAGGTCTCCTAATAGTTCCCAGGATCGACTTTCTATTAACCTCGGAATTGGAATATGAATGCGTCGTTTTCTTCTTCAGCAATCGCAAGGTTTTTAAACAGCATACATTTACTTCCATAGAAAAACACAATACAATACAACACCAGCTGACGTTTCGGCAGTATCGCCTTCTTCAGAGCCACTTTTTTCGTGACTTCCAATGAGGAGGTTTAGAACAGCTGATTATAGTCGCATATAGTTGAGAGTCGTCAACAAGAAAAGGTCTCCTAAGTTGAGAGACCGGCGTTCCCATGAGAAAACCCAACTAAGAATAAACCAATACCAGCATCTATCATCGGCCTAGTATCAAACTGGTCGCATGGTGGTAAATATCACTTTGATCAACATGGGCGTCGACTGCTTGTGGCGGTAATGCGCAGAGGCAGACTGGCCTAACTGACTTCGAGATTTCGGGGAACCACCATTCCTAAACCAACAAAACTATAACAATGGAAATTTTGTTGGGTCCGCTCAACCAGTGAGCATGGGCCATCCAAGTATGCCAAATCATCAACAGTATGACTGAATGAGGGAAAAACATGATGGAAAACACTTGGTAACAATCATTAACGAGAAAAGAAGAGCGGGTTGCACAGTGGTAGTAATCCCATTCATTACACCGACAGCATAGCTCACCCAGGCCTTGGTTCGGTACCACTCCGGGTCACCAATCCTGTTATCCTTCTTGGGTCGAAATATTGCTACGAGACTTGTTTGGAATAAGACAACTCTCTCCAATCTATGCAGAAATACCCCATCTCGGGACCCTAGGCACAACCGACCAGCATTCAACAACATTCGTAAGGCAGCATGAAAAGCCCTTGAATAGCAGCTGAACCAACGGAGAAAAAGGTTTGAAGACCTTCGTGCATGATGGAGCTGACGGAAATCATCGAATGTAAGAAGTGCTAGCACAATGCGATAGAAATGATGTCGGCTCATGTAATGATAGTGAAAAAATAGACTTTCTCTTTATCGGAAAAATAAATGCATTTATTCTATAGCTGTAAGTAGAAAAAATCTGTTACTAGACGAAAGTCGACATATTCTTGAACTTAAATACAAACTGATCCTGCAACTCAAACACTGCTTGAAATCTCTATGGCGATTGGCATAAGGGAGAACACAAGATTTGAAAGCATAAAATAAAATTTTTATAAAAAATCGTCGAACATTTGTGTGCGCATTTTTCAAATGAAGGAGGGTAAAGAGAGAAAACTCAAAAACACCATCGCTTTTAACACTGAAAACGTTCGACAATCAGGGCAATGCCTGTCTACATAGAACGGTAGAGACACACGTCAACTTCATTTCCTCGCTTGTGCTCTAATTAAGGCAATTTTTGCAGTTCTGCAAAATAAAAGCACAAGGATGCCGAGACATGAGCAAAAGCCGATGCCCGCGATTTGCCTTTCGCTCAGCCAATTTTTTACCCTAATGGTGCTATCAACAATCACCGGTCAACAAGAATGATTTGCAGAGCACAAATCAGCATTGAACTCGGTCCAGCTGAAACTGCAGTCGGAATCACGATGTTTAGCTTTTATTTACTGCTTGTTGGTCTTCGCCTAAATCTCAAGAATAGGCAGTAAATAAACGTAATATATTGTGACACTGCATTATTAAAGCCGTGTAGAGCAAATGTAGAGACGTTTTTTAATGAGCACGGGAAAACTTTCAATTCTTTACCTCTTACAAAAAGGAAATAACAAATGACGGCAAATGTTTGCCATAATTTCCATCAATTTGTATTCAGTGGTCATATCATTTAAAGCATGCTCCAACAAGTAGATGCCTCAATCTTACTGAACACAACAGATAAGGGATAAAAACGTTTGGCGTTGATCAATACCTAAGGGATATACTATGCATCCGACTTCATCAGGTATGGTTAGAAGTGATCAAAAGCATATCTGGCCTATACATAACTCGCAGTGGTTTTCCGATATACCAAATCGGGAGCGGCTATCTTGACAAGTCTGCTACCAATTTGTCGACCCCGGATGAAAGGAAGTCTTGGTGAGCCCAAAGAGCAGGATCGAATAAAACACTATGTCTGTATTGTTATGGTATGTGAATGTCGTAAAAATTTCACACAAGTTGACTGATGACGGGAAGAACCCGTTTTTCGAGTATTTGATGCAGAATCGATTCAACAAATAGTCACATTGAGCGCGCCTGATCACCAGCCAGCCTGGTAATGAGGATGAAGCACATTTGCACACACAATGAGAAATAATAATAATAATGATTATAATAATAGCAATAATACTAATAATAATAATAAGAAGAAGAAGAAGTTGAAAAAGTTCACAAGCGAAGTTGAGGAAAGTGGAGATGTGGATCTTCAACAATAAGGCTTCACAAGAAGTGGGGTGCTAACAGCTTGCACTTGTCGAGGACAAAGATCGTTTCCGCACAAAAAGGGTTAGATTTGAGAAGATTTTTCCTGACGAATTGTAATAACAAGAAAGTTACTCCATATGATCTACAACGTACCTGTGTTGTATAGTCGTCAGTTTTTCATTGCTACGGATCAATCTGGGTCGTGAATATGATTAGATTTACAATCTACAACGACATTGTGCTCGCAGAAAGGACTAAAATCCCTGATTAATCTGAACCACCACTGAGGTCTGAGCACCCAGCAAATCCCTTCCGGTTCAGAAAGATTTGACTAAAAAGGTGAAATATTGAATTAGATTAAAGTTGGGCTTTCCTCTAAAGTCATCATACACATGGAACACCTATAGGCCCAAAGTTTAGACGAATAAACAAACAAGGACGGAAATAATCACCTCCCACTTTTTTAGACCTAGTTCTACACAAAGACTCCAACAAGTTCATAGCCGCAGATTAGGCCCCAACATACGATGTTTTCCAACTGATCAATACATCCGTCAATGAATGCCTATAAAAACTTGTATGCGAACATCTATGCTTTCCTTTAAAAGCAAGCAAACACATCTGACAAGCCTATCAATTGGCGCTAATGATTGGTTGGGAGCGTAGACGAGAGTTAACGAATTCATTAACATAAAAGCACCAGATAATAAGGAATGATAGGCGGAATGGCACATGGTATGGTTATGATGTCTGAGAAAGGAAAGAAAAAGAAAGAAAATGGAAAACAACCACAGCGTTGCTGAGATATTTGCAAAAATTTGGACCGTAGGTGTATATGTTGGGGGACGAACGCGCTATTGTCCTTTCCGTGGAGTAACGCGTTCACCACCACACCATGCGGATCCTTTGTTTCACCTGTCTCTCAGCTAGTTCTATCGATCAGCGCCATCAGCAATCACCCATCAACGGGATTGATCTGGGGAGCCCACATCGGGATTGAACAATAACGATGAGCGCGTTCGTTCCCCACCATAGACATCTGCGGTCCAGAGTTTTGCAAATATCTCAGCAACGTTGTGGTTGTATTTCGCTTAGTACCCTACCGTGAAAATTGTATTTAGCAGAAAATAAAAGGTAAAACAGAAAATGGAAGAATAAACATTGCTAAAACATTGTCTGTGTCGAACGAAATAACACATCAATCGATACAACGAGGACAGCGCATGTGGGTGTGTATGTATGTGCGTGTGTCCATGTGTATTCATGTGTGTGTCATCGCTGATAGCGAATGTCGGCACGGTTGATTGTCCCCAATTTCCAGACGTTTATCGCGAATTGTTTGTAAAGCGTTTAGCGTAGTGATTAGAGGTGCCCTGCAGTGCAAACGTCGTCTTTGGTTCGGTTCTGCGACACAAGCTCACCAATCATTCTAGAATCGGCAAATTGGTACTAAATTTGTCTGGTAGGGTCGCGGGACTGATTTGATATATTGGTAGGCCACCGAAAGTCATTGTGTAGGCCAAATGTGCATCCAACCACCTTAACCGATACTCGATGAAGTTGAATCCTTGAGGCATTCTTCATGAATTGATCAACGCCGAAAGTTTTATCCTTTTTCTAAATCACGAATTGTACCAAAACGGGACCGGCATATGTTCTATGCTTTTAAATGATTTATGTGTTCTTTGGAATCATGTTAATCAACATAGAAAATAAAT